CCATGTTCTCCTCCATCTCTTCCTTCTCTTCCTCCTCCTCCTATTCCTCTCCCTACTTCTCCTTCATCTTCTCCCTCCTCCTCCTCCATGTTCTCCATCTCCTCCTCCATCTTCCCCTTCCTCCTCCTCCATGTTCTCCTCCATCTCCTCCTTCTCTTCCTCCTCCTCCTCCTCCTCTGTGTTTTCTTCCTCCATCTCTTCCTCCTCCTCCTCTTTTTCCTTCGTGTCCTCCTCCTCCTCTAAGGTGACACAAGTTGGGCATGGTGTATCTATTGTCAGCAGGGGAGAGGGTGTGATAATGCCTGTTAGCATAATCACATCCTTACCTCCTCCCGTCCAAGATGATCAGTGCCACAGTGGGTACAGCCTTTACCTGCAGAAAACATCTGTGCAGTCCTTGTGTGAGCATGGAATCATCTGCAGTGACCCACCCCAGGCAGGCAGGCAGGCAGGGGGCTCTGAGCTTCAGACACCACAGGGATTGCCCAGCGACCCTCATGCTCTATCGTTCAGTCACAGAGTTCCCAGTCACAGGGTACAGAGGATCCCCTCTCTGCCCTATGAGCCTTCCCTGTCCACGGAGACAGCAGTGTCATTTCCATAGCCAACTGCTGGCACCACAGGCAGAGGCTTAGCCCACTACGTCATAGCACACTGCAAGTGGCAACTTACCCACTGTGCCACAGCACCGGCCCCCAGTTCGTAGTCTTGCTGCATGAGTGATGTTTTCCTCCAGTGATATTACATGCTTGGGCGTCATGGTCTGTCTTTCGTGGTCTTTGTCCTGACCTTGTTCTGGAAGTGGTGCCCCTTTGGACATAAGCACACAGCAGGTACTTGATTTCTCTCTGGTACCTCACCTTGTTACTCTCATTATACCCCTGGTCAGTTCTTGTATGTGGCTCTCTGCAATTTCATTATGGGCTTTAGTGTGCCCCTGGTCAGTGAGGCTGTTTCACCTTATCCTAAGGAGAACTACCCACGCAAACCCGCTGATAGCCTCACTCTGTCTTGTTTTTGAACTCTTGGATTCATTGGGTATCCTGTTCACTTATTTGAAGGGAGGTGGTTGGCATGTGGACTGCATTGAGTTTTGCAGAGTGCTTGGTGCAATGGTTAAGCTGCCACTTGGGATGCCTTCATACCATATTGGAGAACTGGGTTCAGATTCTTTCAATTCTGCTTCCTGCTGTTGCACACCCTGAGAGGGAGCAGGCAATGGCTCAAGTATGTGGGTCCCTGCCACCCACATCAGATACCCAGATGGAGCTCCTGGCTTTGACCTGGCCCAGTATTGGCTGTTGTGGGCATTTGGGGAGTGAACCAGTAGATAGAAGAGACTTTCCCTCTTTTTCTTTCTCTTTTTGTCTCTCTCTTGCTCTGCCATTCAAATATAAGTAAAACTTTTTTAAAAGAACCCCACTGTAGTAGCTGGCTGTTGCAGAACCCTTGAGACGATGAAGCATTGCATTTCCTCTCTCCCTCCTGATAGGTTATTTTATCCTGCTGTCCAGAAAAGGAACTTGAAGCTCAGTGAGTTACCTGGTCAGGGTCACGTGGTTCTCAAAAACCAGAAAGTCAAAACCCAGTATGTTGAAACAGATTTATTTAAAAGGCTTAGCAACAGAGCAGGAGAGACAGATTTTCCATCCATTTGTTCACTCCCCAGATGCAATGGCCAAGGCTGGGCCAGACTGAAGCCAGAGCCAGGAAACCCATCGGGGCCCCTCATATGGCTGATGGGCCAAGTGCTTGGGCATTGTGTGCTGCTTTCCCAACTGCGTGAGGATGCTGGATTGGAAGTAGCATAGCCAGAACTTAAAACAGAACTACAGCATAGGTTAAGGGCATTCCAAGGGGTGGCTTACCCCTCTGGGTCACAACACTGACCCCAGAGTCTGTTTTTCACTACTCAGAGGGGTGTGAGGCGGCCTGTGAGTGACACCTGCAGTGAGCAGGCCTCCTTCCTGCAGGCGAGCTCAGGGAGGAGGTGAGAGAAGGGAAGCAGAGGGCGGGGTGTCCCAGCTGGAGGGAAACTTGCGGGAGAAGCAAGGATTATTTCTTGTTCCAGGAGGCACGAGTAGGCCTCATGGGCGGCAAGGTCTTCACCTGCTGAGAGCAACACTTAGGTTGTCTGTTGGATGTTCACCAGCCACAGATGACACATCCAGGTCAGACATGACTGGATAGTGCAGTGCTTGCTGTTCGCCACTGTCCTCGCCCACTTGAATTCCCTGGTCCCTAAGGGATCCATATCTCAGCAACACGGAATTGTAGGGCACAGAGGAGCGAGGCTGGGGGTTTATTTTGGACTCTCCTTTAGAGTCTGTGGGCCAGGGTTCAGGAGGAAGAGGTCAGGGTCCTTCCACTCCCCAGGTGGGCGGCACTCCAAGGGATGCTCTCTGCACGGTGGGTGAGCACAGCTCCACCTCTCTGCCTGAGCGCTCAGAGGTCGGGAATGGGCGAGGTGGACTTCACAGCAGCGGTTGCTGGAAGTGACTCACGTCCCAGCGCTGTGGATTCGCGGTGGTGGTGCTTGTGGTTCCCGCAGACCCTGGACCTGAGAGAACCGCAGTCAGACCCCATCGCTGCTGTCTGACTGGGGACCCTGGGCAGTGGTGTGGAGCTGCCTACCTCAGATAGCTACCTGGAGTGGAGGGCATGGCAGCGTTTATTTCATGGTGGCGAGGGAATTAACAAAAGTAACAAACACAAGGAACACAGCCAGACTCCTGGTGTTTAGTTCTTAACCTGTTGACAGGGGACCTATTATTGTGTTGATACAGAAATTTAGGAAGAAATGAAATGGACTCCCTAAAATGACACAGTGGAAAAGTGTTCATCAAGATTGGACTTTCCTCTGGCAGTCAGGCCGCCTTGGGACTGTGTGCACAGCTGAAGACAGAGACTGAGCTGCGTGCCTCTTGTGACCGTACTTTCTTACAGATCTGGCTGCGCTTAGTGCCGCGGTGGGAAAGGGAAGTGGGGTCCTTGTTCCTGGATATGTCACAGCTTCACCATTTGTCAGCTCCGTTGTGCTCCACTCACACCTGAAGGTCATCCGTCCTGGTTTTCTTGTTCCTGAATCCTGTCACCTGTAAGAATTGGCCTATGGAAAATAGGCCTCTGACTGTTATGGAATTCTCTGCCATCTCTTTAAGATTTATTTGAAAGAGAGGTAAAGACAGAGAGGTCTTCCATCTTCTGGTTCACTCCTCAAATGGCCACAACAACTAGAGCTGAGCCAGTCTGAAGCCACGAGCTGCTTCTGGGTCTCCCATGTGGCTGCAGGGGCCCAAGCATGTGGGCCATCTTCCACTGCTCTCCCAGGCCATAGCAGAGAGCTAGATCAGAAGTGGAGCAGCCAGGACTAGAACCTGGCACTGCAGGCTGCACCTTTACCCCCTACACCACAGGTACCGGCTTCTCCATAGCTTTTAAAAATAAATGGGCTAGGGACTCGCACTGTGGCATAGCGGGTATGGGCACTGGTTTGAGTCCTGGCTGCTCCACTTCTCAACCAGCTCTCTGCTATGGCCTGGGAAAGCAGTGGAAGTTGGCCCAAGTCCTCGGCCCCCTTCACCTGTGTGGGAGCCCAAGGGAAGCTCTTGGCTTTGGATCAGTGCAGCTCTGGCTGTTGTTGCCATCTGGGGAATAGTGAACCAGCGATGGAAGACCTCTTTTTCTGCCTCAGCTTCTCTGTAACTCTGCCTTTCAAATAAAATCTTAAATGAGCCAAACGATTTAGTATACTTTTATGCAAAAGCTGTGGTCATTGCCTGTGTGTCTGTCTGCTGCGTCAAGGACTTGTTGCATTTTATATTTCAGTGTTGCCAATGACACTATTTTGTTAGGCTTGTCAGACTGTCCTTGCCAAGTTCACAAGTATTACAACAAATAGGTGTATTGTTACAAAAATTATAGATCAGAATTATAGTGTCTTCCTATGGCACTTGCACATATACCATATACTGAGTCCTGGGGTTTAAAGTCTTGCAGGTCTAAAGTCCCTGGAAAGTGTGGATTCCACGTCCCTTGTGGATATGAACATAGCCTGTTCGCATTGTGGCATGTTAAATGCCCTTATTCCTCAGCAAATATGAAGTGAAACCGATGCCCAATCCTAATTGTATTATTGACATCTGTATTCATGAGACAGTGCAGCTCATGTGAACTGCATTCTGAATTCATGAAGTTCTGTAGGTTAGGGAGACCCAGGTCTCCCACAGGTTCGTTTCATGTAGTTCAGCTGCCGAGATTCCAGGCTATTGTCCTTGAGCTACCTCTTCTACCACGAGAAGCAAAAAACATCTTCTTGTGTGAGAATGCATGTTTTTTCACATCTTTGTTCCCTACCATGGCTTGTACATATCCAGTGAGGACTTCTCCCTATTTTGCTTTAGCTGTGCTAGCTGTCCATGTAGCTTACCCGCTTTTGCTTCTTGAAGCACAAGCTACCAGTACGGGTCAAAAAACATTTCTCCTCAGTTTCTCCTGTGCAGATTGTCCTAAGATGCCTAGACCTTTAACAGGACATAATAAGTGCTCTAAAACCCATCTTCTTTAGACATTATTGCTAGTGATGTTTTAGTTTTCTGAGAATATATCTTCTGTATGTTATACATACGGATACTTTTAAAAGTTCATGGAAAATGGAATTAAGTTTGTTTTGGTATACTTGTAAAATATATTTAAGGAGTCTTCAAAAAGCTTGTGGAAAATGCATATTTTGAACACAGCTTGCATGGATTTCAGTGTTTTTGCACCAAAAAACGTTTTCATCCAAAATTTCTGCAGACTTTTTAAAGTACCCTGGTATCACTACATTTGATGCTATGACAAGTTTTGTTTTCTATAATCTAGATGTGGCATTTAGGGCTTAGATCCTTAAGAGCTACTTAATATCTTTAAATTAGACATATACTTCTTAGACTTCATCCAAATTAATTCTTTGAAAAACATTAAATGTAGCAAATGAAGACAAACGAAGTATACACACATTTTGAATATAAGACTTATCAAGATTACTTAAGTTTTATATTTTTGTGTAGAACCATTTTAAAAGTTTTTTAAATCTATGCCCCACCCTTTTTTTGTTGCAAGATTTAGTTATAATTAAAAATTCTTGGCCGCTGCTGCCACCCAGCCAGGCTGCTGTCAGTGCTGCTGCCGCCATGGCTCAATACAAGGGCGCTGCAAGCGAGGCGGGCCACGCCATGCACCTTATGAAGAAACGAGAGAAGCAGCGCGAGCAGATGGAGCAGATGAAGCAGTGGATTGCAGAGAACATAATGAAATCCGATATCGACAAGAAGTTCTCTGCTCACTACGATGCGGTGGAGGCAGAGCTCAAGCCCAGCACCGTGGGTCTGGTGACCCTAAATGACATGAAGGCCAAGCAGGAGGCCCTAGTGAAGGAGCGGGAGAAGCAGCTGGCCAAGAAGGAGCAGTCAAAGGAGCTTCAGCTGAAGCTGGAGAAACTGCGAGAGAAGGAGCGCAAGAAGGAGGCCAAGCGGAAGATCTCTAGCCTGTCTTTCACCCTGAAGAAGAGGAGGCAGCCATGTACAAGGAGGAGCTGGAAAGGGAAGAGGTCACCACGAAGAAGAGGAAGTTAGGGAAGAATCCAGATGTCGACACAAACTTCTTGCCTGACCGAGACCATGAGGAGGAAGAGAACCGGCTTCGGGAGGAGTTGCGGCAGGAGTGGGAAGCCAAGCAAGAGATCAAAAGCGAGGAGATGGAGATCATCTTCAGTTACTGGGATGGCTCCGGGCACCGGCGGACAGTCAAGATGAAAAAGGGCAACACAATGCAGCAGTTCCTACAGAAGGCGCTCGAGATCCTTCGTAAAGACTTCAGTGAGCTCAGGTCGGCAGGCGTGGAGCAGCTCATGTACATCAAGGAGGACTTGATCATCCCCCACCATCACAGCTTCTACGACTTCATCGTCACCAAGGCCCGGGGAAAGAGTGGGCCACTCTTCAACTTTGACTTTCATGATGATGTGCGGCTGCTCAGTGACGCCACCGTGGAGAAGGATGAGTCCCATGCTGGCAAGGTGGTGCTGAGGAGCTGGTATGAAAAACAAGCATATCTTCCCCACCAGCCACTGGGAACCCTACGACCCTGAGAAGAAGTGGGACAAGTACACAATCCGCTGAGCATCCTGGGCGGTGGTGTGGTCTCGGCTCCTCTTTGGCCTCCCCGGGCGCGCCGCTGTGTCATCGTGGCTCTAGACGTCTGGCTACCCCAACCCTGGCAGCGCCATTCCCTGCCTTTGTCTTTTACAATAAAAAGAATGCACTTGTCAGAGTTGGAGCAGGTGCACTGTGGGAAAAAAAAAAATTCTTAAGTTATGAGGGACAGCCTTTCCCATGGCAGCAATAGTGGCAAGCAGTGAAAATAATCCCCATTTGAGACACTTAAAAATTTTAGTCTTAAAACCACACACAAGGGCACTTCACAAGAAGTTCATGGATACAATTAAAAGATGTTGATTTTGGAGCAAAAATATTTTGAAACCCATAGTTTTTATACTATGCATTTTCCGTAAACTTTTTGAAGTGTCATCATACTTTGATAGAAGTTCATGGGTACAATTAAAAGATGTTGATTTTGGAGCAAAAATATTTTGAAACCCATAGTTTTTATACTATGCATTTTCCGTAAACTTTTTGAAGTGTCATCATACTTTGATGATAGACCTGTCTGCCTTCAAACTGCTTTACTGCTGTGCAGCACTCAAAACAGTCTGCAAAAGTTCTGAGTCCCAAAGATGTTTATGCTGACAGTAACTGACCACAGAAGAAACATCTAAGCCTGGTGAGATCTGTCTGTACCTCCAAAGTGTAAAGCCAGAGTAAGATGGCTCTTCTGGATGTGCTTAGCTGCAATCTTCTCCACTCCCCATTTACTACAGGGACTTCTGGGCCAACAAGTCATGTTGTACCTGGCCCCCCGTCAGTCTCACAAACTGCCTACCAAATCCTGTACTTGGAAAGGACTTGGGAAATAGCTTCCCATGAACTGTGCCAGGATACATAGAGTATCACTGGGAACAAAACTCACACAGAGCCCCTTAGAAATACATGTCATGCACACCATACAGTCAGGATCACCCGGCCCTGCAGTCTTGCCTAGGAGGCCCAAGTGAGCAAGGAAAATTATAACAAGACTAAGAATTATTTTCTGATGCATAGGGTACCATTGAGCCACATGAAGACTAGCCCACCAAAGCTGTTCCCCCTTCACAGCGGCAGAGCACAATTCAGTTCCAAACTGATCCTGCATGGTACATGTGCCCCCACCAAGGCTAAAAATGGCCTGAACAGTCAGGTATTTATCAGTACGTACTGAGACAGACGGTTTTCCCTCAGGTGATTTGAAATAGGGAACATTAATCACACAAATGGCATCTATGAAGACAGCAAAAACCTCCAAGCCAGCAGAACTCAGATGGTTCTTCTGGCCAGTGCAGGTTCTTGTCTGTCTGAAACAGTTCAGCAGGATGGAAGATGACCCCCAAAGGTTCCTATTATTCAGGATTCCCTTAAGGGCTGGGGATATTGGGGATATAACATAGGGCAGCATGTGCTTGATGCTAAGCAGACTGTAGAGTGCAAGTTAGCTGCAGAAAGTTTCTCAAGTGCTTAGCTCTCATGGTGAGCCCCTGGCTTTGAGATACAAGGTTCAGCTCCTGTCTGCAGCCCTTGAAATATCTGTCTTTGAGTTGTGACCATGGTGACAGTGCTTCCCATGAATGACTGAGGCCTTTCTCTTGTATGAATTTTCTGGTGCCTGGCAAGGGAATACCGTTTGTTGAAGGTCTTCCCACACTGACTGCATTCATAGGGCTTTTCTCCAGGGTGGATTCTCTGCTGCTCGATGTTTGTTCTTGTAGATGAAGGACTTGCCACAGGCAGTGCATCTGTAGGGCCTCTCTCCACTGTGAACTCTCTGGTGTTGAATGAGGCCGATGTGGTGCCTGAGCACTTCCCACATTCACTACACTCACAAGGCTTTTCTCCACTGTGGATTCTCTGGTGCTCAAGAAGCTTGTTTTGGGGGCTGAAAGCCTTCCCACATTCATAACACTCATAATTTTGTCGTCTTGCGTGGATTCTCTGGTGCTGAAGAAGTTTAGCCTTAAGATGGAAGCGTTTCCTACAGTCCTTGCACTCGTAAGGTCTTTCCCTAGTGTGAGTCTTGTGGTGCTTAAGAAGCGATTGTTTGCAGATGAAGCACTTCCCACAGTCACTGCACTGTGTGTCCTCTAGTGTCGAATATAGTCAGATGAGTGAATAAAGGCCTTGCCACACTTGGGATACACGTACGGTTCCTCTCCAGTGTGAATTCGCTGGTGCTCCAGGAGTCTCTTCTAGTGGATAAAGGCTTTGCCGCATTCCTTGCACTCACAAGGTCGCTCTCCAGTATGGATTCGCTGGTGGTCAAGAAGTGACTGTAGATGAAGGCTTTCCCACAGTCACTGCACTCATAGGCCCTTTCTCCATGGTGAATTCTCTGGTGTCGGAGGACTGAATAAAAGATTTCCCACATTCAGCACACACATAAGGCCTTTCTCCAGTGTCGATTCTCTGCTGATGCCCAACAAATGTTTGTTTGTGGTGGAAGGACTTCCCACATATACTGCACACATAAGGCTTTTCTCCATTGTGAGTTCTGTGGTGCCTCACCTCTGAGTCATTGGAGTTCAAAGACTTGTCGCATTCACTGCATTCCTAAGCTCTTTCTGCACTGTGAGCGCTCTCATGGCTGCTTCATTTGCAGTGCCTTTGCTCCTTCTGAAAGGTCTCCCTGCTTACAGGTGGATACCCGCTACTGCGGTCAGTCGGGTGCTGAAGGCCCACGCTGCCCAGCAAATTCTTCTCAATGTCTTTGCATGTGAAAGGGTTTTCTGAGATAGGGACTTCGCAGTTACTCACAGGCAAGATCATGTTTGCCACACAGGTGTATGGTTTCTGCCCAGGAAGCGCTCCCTAGTGTGCAGCCAGGAACAAGCTGTCTGTCGTGACTAGGATGCACATCTCACAGGGATGAGGTTTGGGGATGGCTGGACCAGGCTTTGGAGCCCTGGCCTGGGGCACTACTTCTAGGGAAGCAGTGTGCCGAGGATGGGCTGCTTCAGCCTCTACTCCATGGCAGCACCCTGACAGCACAGAAAGCACAGGTGAAGTGTGTGAAGACTTCGGTGAGGACAGCTTGCCACAAGTACCTGTGGAACAGAGGCACTGGGTTGCTGGGTCACATCAAAGTAACTGAGACTTGGCAGCCACCACCTGCATCCCATATGGATGGGCTGTGCCACTTCTGATCCAGCTCCCTATTTTTTTTTCTTTAATTTGACTGAGTTACAGAGAAAGGTCTTCCTTCCGGTAGTTCACCCCCCAAATGGCTGCCACGGCCAGAGCTGTGCCGATCCAAAGCCAGGAGCCGGGTGCTTCTTTCTGGACTCCCACGCAGGTGCAGGGCCCAAGCACTTGGGCCATCCTCCACTGCCTTTCCAGGCCACAGCAGAGAGCTGGACTGGAAGAGGAGCAACCAGGACCTAGAACCAGCGCCCATATGGGATGCCGGTGCCACAGGCAGAGGATTAACCTAGTGAGCCATGGTGTCGGCCCCCCCCCTTTTTTTTTTAATTTGCTTACTTGAAAGGCAGAGTTACAGAGGCAGAGAGAGGTCTGCTGGTTCATTCCCCAAATAGTCGCAATAGCTGGAGCTGGGCCGTTCCAAAGGCAGGAGCTTCTTCTGGGTCTCCCACATGGGTATGCTGCTTTTCCAGGCCATAGCAGAGAGCTGGATAGGAAGTGGAGCAGCCAGTACTCAAACATAGGATGCTGGCACTACAGCAGTTTTACCCGCTATGCCACAGCGCTCCCGCCATCCCCCCCCCTGCCCTGCCACCGCAATTAATGAGCCTGGAAAAGTACAAAATGGCTTGAACTGCTGCCACTCACATGGGAGATTCGGACAGAACTCTTGGCTCAGCTCCTGCTGTTACAGCCATTTGGAGAATGAACCAGTAGATGGAAGATCAATCTCTCTCCCCCTCTAACTCTGCCTTTCAAATACATCATTCAAAAAATAAGGTTAGACCATGCAGTACTGTGCCTCTAGAGTTGCCCATGGTGGTGAGGCCACCACACCACCAAGAGAACAAGGGCAGGGCAGCAGCTCCCTCCCGTCAGTGGTGGGTAGCGGGAGTTTATCAGGCGAGAACTGTGTGGAATTATCCCATCCCAAGAAAATGCAGATACAGGGGTGTAGCTTGTGTTGGAGGATTCTGAAGTCTGTATGTGTATCTCATGGCACAGTAAATGTAGGCTTATGTTGAACATGGAAGAGGGAGGAACAAAACACAGCCAAGGGTTAGAAGTCAGAGCAGAGACAGGAGACAAATGAGACAGGGCCATGAGCCTGGGGTGGGTGGGCACAGGGTACTTGACTACGATCTGGGCATATGCTAGAAAAGTCATACCCTCCCCCTGCTCCTCTTGCTACAGCTGGAGAGTGCTCCACCTTGCCAGGGTCACAGGGCTACCCCCCAATCCCCTGATTCAACTGGGATCTGAGAGGTGGGAAATCCTACTGGGAAAATAGGAAATTGAACACTGGCTTAAAGTGACCCAACCCTTATCTACAGGAGAGAAATTTGGGGGGAGGTCTTGTCACAACCTGGGGTTTCCTGTAAATAGTAAGCACGTAACTGCTGAGTCAGGCCGACTAAAGACAGGAGGAGAACCTGCGACATCTGTTACAGCTCCAAACGGTGACTTTCGTGAGGACTGGCAAAGCCACAGGGCATGAGGGGGGCAAGCTTGAAGACGATAAATTCAGATCCTTAGCTTACAGACTTCAGGACCGTAGATGCTAGAGCTATAAAGTGCCCAGGCCAGGCAAATCCAGCACCCAGGGTCTGGAAAGCAGGCCGTGGTCCAGCTCTGGCAAGGTCAGGGTGACCCCCGGAGAAAGGGGACGAGTAGAGCTCAGCATAGATCGGCAATGTGATGGCGAGGGACCTTACCCAGCGAGGCTGTAAGTGCAAAGTTGTCCAGCATCACACAGTGATACAGGCATCTCTGGGCTTCATCAAGGAGCCCCCTCTCCTCCTGGGAGAAGTGCACAGCGACATCCTCAAAGGTCACCTGGCCCTGTCATGACGGGGAAAGGTAAGTTCAGGATCCACTTCGATCCCCAGCATCGCCACGTGGCGCGAGGCGGCGCCGTCGGAGCTGTGCAGCTGCACACAGCGTCTCAGCCTGTGCCTGCAGTCGGCTCCCGGGGTCCTGACACTCACTCTGCCACGTCCTGGCTTAGACAGGACCCCAGGTGCACCTGCAGCTCCTTCCTCACTTGGGCACCGCTCTCAGGACTGCAGCTCCTTCTGTGTCCAGGATGACTGCTGCCCTGCCGGATGCCATTCTCCTCCTGGAGCCCGCACTGCTCAACCGGGAAAACCTAGTTTGTTACAAAACATACTCCATGTCACCCAGCAGTGCCACTCCAAAATGAGTGAGAAACTTACTTATAACAGCTACATGTGCAACTGCAGAAACTTGGAAGCAACCAAGAGGTCTTTCAGTCTAGGTAAGCAGAGGAACTGGTATATCCAGAAAAGCAGATATTCCATGGTGCTAAAAAAAAAGCAGGGGCCGGTGCTCTGGCGTAGTGGATAAGGCTGCCACCTGCAGTGCCAACGTCCCATATGGGCACCGAGTTCTATTCCCAGCTGCCCCTCTTCCGATCCAGCTCTCTGCTGTGGCCTGGGATAGCAGTAAAGGATGGCCCTCTCATATCTTTTTAAACAAATGAGTGGAGCTGGCATTGAGGTATAGCAGGTAAAACTACTGCCTGCAATGCCAGCATTCCACAGGGGTTCCAGCTCTTCTCCTCAGCCAGCTGTTCGCTAATGGCCTGGAAAAGCAGAAGACAGCCCAAGCTTTGGGCCCCTGCCACCCTCATGGGAGACCCCCAGATGAGGCTCCTGGCCCAGCACTGGCTTTTGCAGCCATCTGGAAAGTGAACCAATTGATGGAAGATCTTTCTCTCAAAGTTCTACATCTTTCTTAAAAAACGAACTATCAAGCCATGAAAACACTTGGAGAAACCCTAAATGCACATTACTAAGTGAAGAGTTTGAAAAGGCTGCATATTGTTTGATTCAACTATGACATTTTGGGAAGGGAGAAACTATGGAAACAAAGTCAGATGTCTATAGGTACTAAGAGTGAAGAGGGTAGAAAAGATGATTAATAGGAGTACAGAGGACTTACAGGGCAATGGAAATAGTGATGATACAGGCCAGCATACATCTGTCTAATCCATACAATGCACAACACCAAGAAAAATCCTAACTATAGGGGCTGGCGCTGTAGAACAGCGGGTTAATGCCTTGGCCTGAAGCGCCGGCATCCCATATGGGCATCGGTTCTAGTCCCAGCTGCTCTTCCGATCCAGCTCTCTGCTGTGGCCTGGGAAAGCAGTGGAAGATGGCCCAAGTCCTTGGGCCCCTGCACCTACATAGGGGACCCGGAAGAAGCTCCTGGCTTTGGATTGGCACAGCTCCAGCCGTTGTGGCCAACTGGGGAGTGAACCAGTGGATGGAAGACCTCTCTCTCTCTCTGTCTCTCCTCTCTCTAACTCTTTCAAATAAATAAATCTTTAAAAAAAAAAAATCCTAACTATAGACTTTGTGTAAATGTTCAGTTCTAAGTAGACCTACCACGCTGACAGGGGACACAGATAGTGTTTGGGGGTGGCAAGGGATACAGGAAAGCTCTACTCAGTTCTATGAATGCTAAAAAATAACCTTTAATGAAAGTTTGAGAGAAGCGCCACTCCTTTTGTTAAGTACTCCTCCCATTCCCTTTCCCTCTCAGACGATGCCACTTCCACAGTTTGATCTGCTAGAGCCAAAAACCTGAGGTCACCCCTGACTTTTCTGTCTCACCACGTCCAGCAGAAAGTTGTCCTTATTCGTAACAGATCAAGGAACAGACCACTCAGCTTCAGCACAAGGGCTGGGACCTGGCCTCCGTCAGCACTCACCGGGAATGTCACAGCAGGCACGAGGCTCATCCTCGGGCTCCTGCAGTCAGGGATCTTATTTAGGACCCAAGTCGCATCACTTCCCTCCACACTCCCACTACCCTCAGTAGAGGCCTTGGCTCCCGAACCTGCCACTCCAGGACTGACTCCTGCCCCTGCCTGTGTTACTCTCGTCTCCAGGCATTCAGATGCCCGTTCCTTTCCTCAGGAAACCTTTCAGGATCTCAGCCTGCTCAAAATGGGAACAGTTCCTTAGAGCTTTGGCCCTGACTGAGTAGCCAAGCTACAGAGGGGGGACAGCCCCATCGCCGTAACAGTGCCAAGACCATGGGTGTGGGGATGAGGGCTGGAGAGGGCCCACAGGTTCTTCTGCTTACCTGTGACGGTTCCACAAAGCCCTCAGCCGCCATGGGGAGCTGTGAGAAGAGGAAGGCTGTAAGACAAAGGTGATCCAGGTAGTTTTCCAAGCCCATGTTCTCTCTGCCTGGCACTGGAGAAGACTCATAACCTCAGGGGCTCAGTCTTCACCACTAACTCTTGCCAATGAGATTTGCAGGGTGGAAACCTGCAAATGAGAGCAACCTTCTAATACAGCTGTAGGCATCACAATCACTAGTGTATGCCCAGTACTACATTTAGCTCTCCCCAGGGTGGGCATTGGGTGGGACAGTTAAGTCACCACTTGGACCCCAGCATTCTGCACTGGAATGCCTGGCTTGAGTCCCGACTCTTCCATTTCTGATCCAGCTTTTTGCCAAAGTTCACCCCAGGAGACAGATGATGGCTCTAGTACTTGGATCCCTGCTACCCACGTGGGTGACCCAAATTGAATTTTAGGCTACTGGTTTCGGCTTGACCCAAGCCTGGCTGTTGCATGCCCTTCAGGGAATGAACCAGCAGATGGAAGATCCATCTCTATCTCTCAAATAGAATGATGATAAATAAACTTACTACCAAGCCCAGGACTAACATTTCTATAAATGCTTTTGATGAGTCTACCTTTTATCAAATAATTACAGGCATCTGTAATTCTGAAACAAAATATGTAGGGTCCCCCCCCCCCATACCAGTTCTTCACGGCAGGGTACTTTCTTCCCCCTTTAGCTAGACCGCCCAGAGGCTTCCTGAATCTCTGTTCAAGACCTTATATAACCTGATCTTCACCCCTCGCCCCGGAGGCCTGAGGCTAAGATCTTAAAGTTACTCGGTCTCTGCTGACCAAGCCCCACTGTGAATTTCCAGGGACCATACTCCAAGCCACTCTGAAAACCCAGGTTTCCTAAGGGAGAACAAATGCCACTCTCACTGAGGAGATTCCAAGAGCTTTAGTCTTTGCGAGGAACACAGGACAAAAGTTCTATCTTTAGGAAAGCAGAATTTCAGCCAAGTGCTGAGCGCTTTCATAAATGTTAACTCTGCGGTCTGCAAAGCTCTCCACAAGGAGTAAACGGCCGCATGGTACAGTGGCGCCCGCACATGGCCTTCCGCCCGCATCCATCCCAGGCTGCCCTCTGCAGCAAGCCCTGTGACCACAGGCCTCTGCCCCTCGCCTTTCACCTAGAATCCCGCTAGCACACCCCAGAACTTCCCTCTGAATGTGAGCTGCAGACCCCAACCCGTCAACATGTGGACGGCACGGGCCCAGTCTCCACCCTGCTTCCTGCTTCCAGGTGCCCAGTTAACTACACTGCAATATTCTAGAATCACGTCCAGGGGCCGGCGCAGCGGGTTAAAGCCCTGGCATCCCATATGGGCACCGGTTCCAGTCCCAGTCCAGTGGGGGATGGCCCGTGCACCCACGTGGGAGACCCAGAAGATCTGACCCCTGGCTTCGGATCGGATAGGCTCCGGCCATTGCGGCCTTTTGGGGAGTGAACCAGTGAATGGAAGAGCTGTCTCTACCTCTTTCAGGTAAATAAATATTGTCCAAAATCCACCTCCTACCTACCTGATTCCCCTGTAATTCTCCCAGATGTTCAGGTAGCACCCTGGGACCTGGCCTTCACGCCCTGCTGTGGCTCAAGCGCGACTGGGGGGAGCAGAAAACCCCTCCAGCTTTAGGACATAGCAAGATCTATTCGTGTCGTGTCCCGCCCCGCCTCCAGCCCGGTCCAGAGTCCACCGTAACCTTGGACGCTATCGCAGTGGTCTCCAAGTGTCCCCCTCATCACCTCCTTCCCAGCCTTAGGGATACTTGTAAACCCCACTCACACTCCCCAGGCCCCCAGAAGCCGGCACGGGGACCCCCGAGGCCGCCCTACAGGCAGGGGCCTGGGCTGCCCTCCATTTGGGGCCCTCACCTCTGGGTGAGGATCTGGAGCCCGCAGCACTCACCCGGGGCGATTTCACCATCTTGGCCGCTGCCACAGAGGCTGCGGGCAGACTGGGACCTCGGGAAGCGCCACGGCCGGAGAGTCCGGGAGCGAATCTCGGGCGCCGCTCACACTGAGCCTCACGTCTGTTCCGTCTGCAGCGGGGAGAAACGCCTGCCCTAAGCCCCTTGGCGCCCCAGCTACTAGGATCTGCACCAGACTGGGACCAGCGCCGGGGTAATCAAATCAGAAACCAGCAGAACGATCGCCCAGCCTAGCGCGCCGGAAGTCCCGCCCCAAAGCAGTGCGCACTGGCGGGAAGTGTCTTTTAGGCCTTCATTGGCCAAAACGTTCGTAGATTGGACGCACGGCATTCTGGGTAATGTAGTTCCTGTCCTGCCAGCGCGACTAACGAGATCAGTACCCTACAAAATTCAGTGGAAGGGTCTGGGGGAGAGGAACAAAGCACCTGAAGCTAGAGTTGTAAAAGCCGGTCACATGAATTTTAAATACTGTTTGGGGGTCGGCGCTGTGGCTTAGCGGGTAAAACCGCCGCCTACAGTGCCGGCATCCCATATGGGCGCCGGTTCGAGTCCTGGCTGCTCTTCTTCCCATCCAGCTCTCTGCTCTGGCCTGGGAAAGCAGGAGAAGATGGCCCAAGTTCTTGGACCCCTGCACCCATGTGGGAGACCCGGAGGAGGCTCGAGGCTCCTGGCTCCTGGCTCCTGGCTCTGGATCGGCGCAGCTCCAGGCGTTGTGGCCAATATGGGAGTGAACCAACGTATGGAAGACCCTCTATCTATACCTCTCTGTAACTTTCAAGTAAATAAATCTTAAAAAAAAAAAACTGCTTTAAAAACATAAATACTATTTGAGGGGTACATGCTGTGGCGCAGCGGGTTAAAGCCCTGGCCCACAGTGCAGGCATCCCCGCCGTTGCAGTCTGGGCTGCTCCACTTCTGATGCAGCTCCCTGCTAAAGCTCCTAGGAAAGCAGAAGTCGGCACAAGTGCTTGGGCCCCTGCACCCACGTGGGAGACCCAGGTGATGCTCCTGGCTCCGGATCAGCTCAGCTCCAGCCATTGTGGCCAGCTGGTGAGTGAATAAGCAGATGAAGACGTTGCTCTGTCCCCACCTTTCTAACTCAGTCTTTCAAGTAAATCAATCATCTTTTAAAAAATGAGTTTTATTTTTATAAAGTCAAAACATTAGAAACAGCACATTTTTAAAAGTTGAAAGCTGACAAAATCCTTAATTTAAAGAAATTTCTTGGGGGTAGGAGTTTGCCTCTTCTGCGGGCTGTAGAGGGTAAAGCTGCCACCTGCAGTGCCAGCATCCTATATGATCACCAGCTGCTCCAATCCCGATCCAGCTCTCTGCAATGGCTTGGGAAAGCAGTGAAAGATGGCCCTGCACCAGCATGGTGCTTTGCATTGGCCCAGCTCCAGCCACTGTGGCCATTTAGGGAGCGAACCAACAGATGGGAAGGGCAGGGAGAGGGATCTTCCCTCTGTCGCTCAAATAAATGAATCTTTGAACCAAACACACACACACACACACACACACACACACACATATACACACAAGCTGTGTCTTCTGACACCCATATCCCACATCAGAGCACTGGGTTCAAGTCCCAGCTCTGCTTCTGATCCAGGTTCCTGCTAATGCATGGCCTGCAAGACAGCAGGTGAATGTCTCAACTCCTTGGGTCACTGCCACCCACGTGAAAGACCTGGATGGAGTTCTCTTTACTGGACAAAATAATCAGGCCCTTGCTGCTTGCCCTGGACAGTCCACTCACCAGACGAGAGTTGTGAGAGGAAGGAATTTATTTCAAGCTGGCCATCTGAGGAAAGAGTGATCTCTGGATCTGAAAATGTGCTCTTTCCCTCCCAATAAGCCCGCAACGTGTTTTTACAGGGAAGGGTAGCTGCAGGGGAAAGCGATGAGGCCAGTGAGTGTTAATCGGGCAGGCTGTCAGACTCGGTTCCATCCGGGGCCCCTCCAGGTGGAAGCCTCTTGATAATGGGGTTCAGCTGTCTGCACACCCTCAGCCGGGTGCAAGCCCTGCCTTTCCAAGACCTCTCCTTTCAGCAGGCTCCTGAAACCCCCCTGCAAGCATTACTCACTGGTCACAGGCAGTTTACATCAGCCAGTCCTTGTCAGCCAAATTACGAGGGGAGGGAGGTGCCTCACTGTGATTGCCAGTTACCTGCTGATGTCCTCCATCCCATATCTACGGAACAGGGGCATCGACTCCAGGCTGACCCTTCCTGCTGATGGACAGCAGAGTAGGGGACCTGGGGAGTGACAAGTTTTGACATGGGGAAGAATGTCTTCCTTGGTTTCTCCCTCTCAGGGAGAGCAAGTCAAAGACATTTGTTTAATTGTTAGCTTAAGTATTTATTTGCAAAGTTTCTGTCTATGTAACCCAATAGGCATATAAGACAGAAAAAGGGCATTTAAAGTCGTTATAAAGATTTACTCTATCTTTTCTAAGGCATAAGGCATGGGTGAGGCACGAGTTTTAGTCTTTTGGGTTGAGATACCTCGGGGCAATGCTTTTGCTTCCGAAGTTTTCTTAAAGGTCACTCATGCATATTTGACTAATTTTTCTAATCCATTCAGCTGCTTGTCTGTAAATAATTTCAGGTCTGGAGTTTCTAAAGGGACATCAATCAGATACAGCCTGCTGGAATATACTGTCCAATGCATTCATACATCGGTTTCTCAGGAGGCTCTGAAAGCAGGGTGGGTATACTTAAAGACAATACAATTCTTACAGTAATGTTTACATTATCAGATAATACAGCTACTTCCCAAACAGTCCTAAGTGAGCTGGGAACCTCGCTGTTGTTCCAGAAGTGGCAACATGGCAAGGTGGGCATCACGTGACTGTTACTCTAAGACACATCCAGCTGTGGGCGACAATGCCCAGGTGTTTTAAATATACGCCACTGGGAACTGCACTTAGTTTTAGATTTTGAGTTAATACTCTGTCCTAATCACCTTTTTGGTAATCAGAAATCAAAGAGCTATCCCAGGTCCAGTATGGGTGCCATGTACAGATTCTAGCATGTACTATGACAGTTTCAGGTATCATGTGTTAACAAAGCTCTGAAAAGGTGGCTTTCTGTACAGGCTGCACTTCTTGCAGGCTATTGTGATAGTTACCATTGGGTAATCATGCCTAAGAACTCTTTCAGGGGCCAGCACTGTGATGCAGTGGGTTAAAGCCCTGGCCTGAAGCACTGGCATCCCATATAAGCATTGGTTCTAGTCCCAGCTGCTCCTCTTCCGATCCAGCTCTCTGCTATGGAGTGGGAAAGCAGTAGGAGATGGCCCAAGTCCTTGGGCCCCTGCACCCACATGGGAGACGGGGAAGAAGCCCCTGGCTTCTGACTTCAGATCAGCCAAGCTCTGGCCTTTGCGGCCTTCTGGGGGGGTGAACCAGTGGATGAAAGACCTCTCTCTGTAACTGTTTCTTTTTTAAAAGATTTATTTGAAGACAAAAAACTTTTTCATAACCTCTCAGCCTTATGTTTTTTAAAAAAGATTTCACTTGAAATACAGAATTACAGAGAGAGGTAGAGACATCCATTAGTTCATTCCTTCAGTGGAGCTAGGCCAATCTGAAGCCAGGAGCTTCTTCTGGGTCTCCCACATGGGTGCAGGGGCCCAAGCACTCGGGCCATCTGCTGCTGCCTTCCCAGGCCATAGCAGGGAGCTGGATCTGAAGTGGAGCAGCTGCAACTCGAACCGGCACCTATACAGGATGGCGGTTCTACAGGCCAGGGCTTTAACCCACTGCACCACAGCACACCTCCTCAGCCTTAATTTTAATTTAGGGTTGACACTAGTGACTCCATCTTAACTCCCATATTCCCCCACTTTGTCATCTTTTTCTTGAAAGTAGCATTAACCAACGGTTCTGTACTAGGCTCTGTTGGTTCCATGTTGCCAGGATGAACTTGGTCCTGGTGGGTTGGTCTTACTAGTCCCATGTTGTGGGGGAAAGACGGAGGACTAGGAGTCAGTGTCAGAAACCTTTCAGCCACATCCAAGCAGAATCTTTAGAGGCTATGTTTAGAGTCCATGGTCAGAATAACCACTCCTGCAGGCGCGAGCCATCCTCTCAGATCAGCAGGCCAGCATTTCTCACTAAGAACTGTACTGAGGGGCAGTGAGTGAGCACAAAGCTCAAAGAGGAAAATGTCCTTTAAACAAATTTGCAATCCAGTAGCAGGCAGTAGGGTCTTGATTATTCGCATTAATACAGAAAGTCAGTTTATCATATAGTAATCTCAGATTTAAAGAACACTCAAAGCTAGCAAGCCTAACCCAGGCAGACTCAGCTTGTCATTTTACAGTCTAAATTAGCTCAAAGAGCTATTTCCTCTCCATGCTAAGAATCCTATCCTGGAGACCGGTGCTGTGGTGCAGTGGGTTAAAGCCCCAGCCTGCAGTGCCTGCATCCCAGTTCAACCTGGCTGCTCCACTTCCGCTCCAGTTCTCTGGGCCCCTGCACCCACGTGGGAGACCTGGAGGAAGCTCCTGGCTCCTGGCTTTGGATCAGTTCAGCTCCATTGCTGCCACTTGGGCAGTGAACCAGCAGATGGAAGACATCTTTGTCTCCCCCTCTCTCTAACTCTTTCAAATAAAATAAATCTTTTTTTTTTTTATACAGGTAGAGTGGACAGTGAGAGAGAGAGACAGAGAGAAAGGTCTTCCTTTGCTGTTGGTTCACCCTCCAATGGCCACCACGGCTGGCGCACTGTGCCAATCCGAAGCCAGGAGCCAGGTACTTATCCTGGTCTCCCATGGGGTGCAGGGCCCAAGCACTTGGGCCATCCTCCACTGCACCCCTGGGCCACAGCAGAGAGCTGGCCTGGAAGAGGAGCAACCGGGACAGAATCCGGTGCCCCAACCGGGACTAGAACCCGGTGTGCCGGTGCCTCAAGGCAGAGGATTAGCCTAGTGAGCTGCGGCGCCGGCCAAAATAAATTTTAAAAGAAAGAAAAAATCCTCTCCTGGGGCTGGCACTGTGGCATAGTGTGCTAAGCCTCTGACTGCAAGGCACCAGCATCCCATCCGGGTGCCAATTTGTGTCCTGGCTGTGCCTCTGCAGTCCAGCTCTCTGCTGTGGCCTGAGAAAGCAGTGGAAGATGGCTCCAGTGCTAGGGCCCTGCACCCATGTGGGAGACCCAGAAGAAGCTCCAGGCTCCTGGCTTTGGATAGGCCCAGCTATGGCCGTTGCAGCCATTTGGGAGAGTGAATCAGTGGACCTTTCTCTCTGCCTCTTCCTCCATCTCTGTGTAGCTCTACCTCTCAAATGAGTAAATTAAAAAAAAAAAAAAGAAAGAAAGAAAAAAAAGAACCCTATCCTTTGAAATTTCCTCAATTGGAAGCCAAAAGACTCAGTTCAGAATTTTAAATCTAAAAGAATTTTCAGAAGTTCAAACCATTTTGGTCAAAAATAAGATCTTAGATTGTAGAGGAAATACGGCCACAACCAGAGACAAAGAAAGAAGAGCGGCCCCTCCTCCCAACACAGACCTGGAAAAGCCGCTGCTCCCAGGTAACTAGTGAGCAGCTGCCATTGGGATCTTGTCTAGGGAGGGAAGACGTCCTAAGTTCTGCTCTGTGAACTCAGTCTTATTCGTCCTAATAAATCTGCCCCTGGTATCTCTTTTACAAACATACTGGCCCCAATGACCATTGGAGTGTGGTCCTAGGTCACGTAGGCTGCAGTTTAAACCCAGCAATGCTGTAACAGCTAAGGTGTGATGCTGATGAATTTATAAATACTGTAAGACACTTGGGATTGTTGCTCAGTTCTCAGGAGATGATTCCAGCTGAGCCTGCTGGTGTAGTAAACTGCTTGATCCTCCACTGTCTCTGGTGCCTGTTTGTAGGAAGGGAGTTCTCCCATCCCAGGTTTCTGTAACAAGATAATTTAATACATTGAATCTGGGGTCGGTGCTGTGGCATAGAGGGTAAAGCCGCCACCTGCAGTGCTGGCATCCCATATGCATGCCGGTTTAAGTCCTGGTTGCTCCACCTCTGATCGGCTCTCTATGGTCTGGTCTGGGAAAGCAGTGAAGGATGGCCCAAGTCCTTGGGCCCCTGCACCCATCTGGGAGACCAAGAAGAAGCTCCTGGCTTCAGATCAACCCAGCTCTGGCTGTTGCAGCCAACTTGTGAGTGAACCAGCAGATGGAGGAGCTCCCCCACCCCCATGTAACTCTGCTTTTCAAATGAATGATTTTTTTTAACAGGCAGAGTTAGAGAGAGACAAAGAGAAAGGTCTTCCTTCCGTTGGTTCACCCCCCAAATGGCTGCTATGGCCAGCGCACTGCGCCCATCCGAAACCAGGAACCAGGTGCTTCCTCCTGGTCTCCCAAGTGAGTGCAGGGCCCAAACACTTGGGCCACCTCCACTGCTCTCCCAGGCCACAGCAGAGAGCTGGACTGGAAGAGGAGCAATCGGGACAGAACCGGCGCCCCAACCGGGACTAGAGTGTTTTGAAAGGGAGAGTAGCTGCAGGGGAAGCCCACTCAGCTGCCAATTAGGCAGACTGTCAGACTTGCTTCTGAGGGTCCACCCTGGGTTCTACCCGGGGTGCTGGTGCTGCAGGCAGAGGATTAGCCTAATGAGCCACAGCACTGGCCACAAATAAATATTTAAAAAAATATTGAATTTGAGTTCTCAGCCAAAGCTGTGGGCCCGATATAATCAAAGTTCAGATGATCAAACATTTTTAAATGGGTAGATGAAAACTCAGTTCTCCCAATCAAGCCTCAAAGACCACAGAAACACAAGGAACCTCCCCCAAGACACAGAAAATCCTTGTTACCTAAGCCAGTTACATAGAAAAGCCCCAATTAAAAATAGCACATGACATCAATATAGGAGCCAATTACTTCTAAACAAATTTAAAACCTAAGTTTGTCACATGAACCCAAAGGTATTTGCATTAATTTGACAATTTAGGCTTATGTAAGCACTTTATAAATCAAAACATAACTCTTAAGGAATCTTTTACCACAGACACAACATACAATACACAAACACATATATAACATGACAGAAAATAAGGCAGTTTCTGTAACAGCTCTTTTAAATTTCTCACTCCTTTTAATCACCATCAAGTGATTAGAATCACTTCTTGCTCTTAACCTGAATTAACCATGACTTTTCTCATTGGAACCTTCAGGAGAAAAAACATCATGAAACCATTTAGTTTTCAAGATAACTCTAGTTCCGGTTAAGGAGCTGAATTCTCATGAGAAAGTCTTCATTTCAGATTTGTCACTTTAAATCATCTCTGCATTATGATGTCTTGTCCCCCACTGTCAATTACGCCAGGGACGTCTGTGGGAAGTTACACCGGGTTTTAAGAGCAGGGGAGACCTGGGCCCTGCTCTACCACTAGGGCGATGCAGAACTGCAGCTCCGGCACTTTTACATCAGGAGGGACTCGAGAATGAACCCAGACACCCAGCAGCTGATGACCAGATCAAGAAACTGATTTTATATAGATGTAGTACGGAATACTACTCAGCTGCAAAAAACAATGAGATCCTTTCTTGTGCAACAAAATGGATGCAACTGGAGACCATTATACTCAGCGAAATAAGCCAGTCCCAAAGAGACACATACCATGTTTTCCCTGATCTGTGGTAACAGAACCAGAAACGTATAGGAGCGAAAATCACACTTTGAGATTTGATGACTGTTTACAGCCCTTGTGTCCCCACCCCCTGGATAAAGTTTTTTCTTCTTACTATTCGTTGAACTCTTTACTTGGTGTAGGGTTAATCTTATGAGTATAAAGTTACCTGAAAGTAGATCATTGTGAAAATTGAGAGGGAATAAGAGGAGGAGAAGGAAGGGTGAGAGGGTGAGTGGGAGCTAGGTAGCAAGTATCGCTATGTTCTTAGGTCTGTGCATATGAATTACATGAAATTTATTTGCTTTCAACTTTAAAAATTAAAATGAAAAAAACATAGGAGGGACACCTAACACATCCCTTTCGGCATCAATGGCTGCAGACACAGCTGTTTGAAAGTGTGTGTAAAAGGTTATTTTCCTCATCATGTAGTTCTTCCTGGGTTTTACTGTCAAGTGTGTCGCTCCCCGTCTTCGTGAAGGAACGACACAGGACCCTGCGCTGTTCTTTCATCTGCTCGGCCCTCCCCGGGTTTGCTGCTGGTTCTTCCCGGGTTGGCTACTGTCCCTTCCACCTCCGTGGAAGGGCGGTTCCCCCTGCCACTTTCCCCACTTCCGCGGGGGAGCGGCACACCGCCGGCCGGCTCTCTCGGGGGCTGCACAGGTGTTCCCTTTAGATGTTCCTCGTGCATGCCGTCTCTCTCCTCCTTTATAGTCCTCCTCTGCCAATCCCAACTCGGCTGCCCACATGCCGAGTACGCTGCTCTCCAATCAGGAGCAAGTCCTACAGTTTATTGGCTGAACTGGAGGCAGCTGTGTAGAAGCTGTTTTCTCCTCTCCCAGCGCCATATTGTGGGAGAGCAGATGCATAGAATAAGTCTTAATTCCAGTAACAGTCTAGTCCGAGTTGCTCCCAGTTGCTCCCCACAAAGTGGAACAAATTTTTTTCATTTGAACCATCAATCTAGATCCTTCTTTATAAAAAAGAGAAAAAAACCCTTCTTACACAACAGAAAAACTTGCACATAAGGATTTCACCCCATTCACCAGAGCTCTGAGAAAGCCTCCATAGCCACAGGACAGCATTCAGTTCACGGATCCATCTAATGCTGCCTGCCTTTAAGATCCAACACACACACACACACACAGGCCGTGTATAGCCATGTCTTAGCTATACAGTCACACTTACAGGCTGCCCAATCAACCAAAACGCGACCCAACAGGCTTGAACTGCCATGTTTTACCAAAGAAAGAAATTCTCAAACAACACTCTCCCAAGCCAAAGCCTCCTCATGGAGGGACTGTGGTAGTGGTCTCAGAATCTTATCTCCCACCAGTCGGTTCCGGAACAAACGACTTAGCCCAAGCAGTGAGGACAGAGGGTTCCTGGTATGCACCCAGTTCGCTTACCTGGGCTTGGCTCCTGAAGGCTCCCTCGAAGCACCGTTTCAAACGAAGCGTTTCCAATAGCTGGTGCTGCCGCGGGGAGAGAGGGGGCTCTCAGCAGCGGCGGGGGTCCCTGGAATCGCAGCCACGGGGCACAAACGCCCACTGGCCTCCCCTGGTAATAGACGAGGTTTGGGCTGCTCGAGGAGTCCTGGTCCTGGCCCGCTCACCCAGGCTGTGGGACAGAACCCTGGACAGCCACCTCACCAGAGATCAGAGCAGGGAAGAGGAGAAAACTTGTTCCGAGCCGGCCATTTTGCGAAGAGCGCGCTGTATGGATCCAGAACATGCCCCTTCCTCCCAGCAAGCCCGCAGAGTGTTTGAAAGGGAGAGGTAGCTGCAGGGGAAGCCCACTCAGCGGCCAGTTAGGCAGATAGTCGGACTTGCTTCTGATGGTCCACTGGGCGAGGCTGCCTGATGATGGGGTTCAGCTGTTTGCAATGGAGGGTTGCAGACCCTCTCCGCCAGGTGCGAGCCCTGCCTTCCCAAGTCATCTTTCGGGAGGCTCCTGGGATTCTCACGGACATTATTATTCCCTAGTCACGGCCAGCCCTTGTCAGCCAAAACGTGAAAAGGGAAGGGAAGACGCCTTCATTGTGATCCCAGGCCCAGCTTCAGCCTGCCCAGGCTTCATTGTTGGGGCATCTGGGGAGTGAACCAGGAAATGGGAGTGCTTCCAATATCTCTCTCCCACTTTTCAAATACAAAGAAAAAAAACTTAAAAAAAATAATGTTTGCTTTAATAAAAGAAACTTTTGTAAGCAATTCTCAAAGACAGAAGTTAATAAGATTTAGGAATAAAAATGGAAGAGTTAAGAAAATACATTTTATATTTCACTATTGGCTAATAAAAATTCATTTATCAAGAAATTCATTCTTGATAGCCTATGCTGAAGCCGTAACTCCCAATGTGGCAATATTTTAAGTGGGCCTTTAAGGAGAGAAAGGAGGTTAAGTGAGGTCCCAGGGAGCCCCACGGCAACAGGGCTGCTGTTCTCCCAGGACAAGGAGCTGACAAGAATGCAGCCACACAGAAGAAAGGCCGTGGCAGGGCACAGGGAGGACGCAGGCCACAGGATCCTGCCCCCGGAGCCCTGAGAAGAGAAAGTTCTGTTAGCGAAGGCCTCACTCTGCAAGACTCTGTTCTGCAGGTCCTAGCAAACTACCACGTTACACAGTCAGTGTAACCCTGTTCAAGTGTGTGCAAAACAAATTCTTGTGATCAATACATACTCCACATACACAAGTGTGCACAAACTGGGAAACGTGGAAGGTATCTCTACAGTAGCAACGCTCAACTTCCAACACCTCAGAAAAGTACATAAAAACCTTCAAAGAGAGAATGTAAAATGTATTTTATTCATACATTCATATCACAGAATACTATAAAAAGCTGAAAATAGAAACAAATATGCAGAAATGAAAGTGAAATAACAAGTATGTTGATCACATGAAATAAGTCATACAATAATTCTTATACTCAGATGGTTCCATTAATACAAATGGCAAAATAGAACTAAAGGGGCTGGTGTTGTGGTGTACCGGGTAAAGTCGCCACCTGCTGTGCCGGCATCCCATATGAGCTCAAGTTCAAGTCCCAGCTGCTCCACTCGGATCCAGCTCTCTGCTATGGCCTGGGAAAGCAGTGGAAGATGGCCCAAGTGCTTGGACCCTGCACTCACCTGGGAGACTTGGCAGAAGCTGCTGGCTCCTGGCTTCAGATCAGCCCAGCTTTGGCCTTTGCCACCATCTGGAGAGTGAACCAGCAAATGAAAGACATCTCTCTCTCTCTCTCTCTCTCTCTCTCTCTGCCTCTGCTTCTCTGAAACTCTGCCTTTCAAATAAATAAATTAAATCTTTAAAAAAAAAATAGCACTACATATATATGTGTCCACACATGGATGTTAAAATTATCAGAAAAATGGTGCCGGCCCTGTGTGTAGCAGGTTAAAACTCTGCTTGCAGTGCCAGCATCCAATTTGGGTGCCAATTTGAGTCCCAGTAGCTTTACTTCTGATCCAGCTCCCTGTGAATGCTCCTGGGAAAACAGTGGAGGATGACCCAAGTACATGGACCCCGTACCCATATGGGAGACCGAGGAAAAGCTCCTGACTTCAGCCTGGCCCAGCCCCAGGCATTGCAACCATTTGGGGAGTGAACCAGTAGATAGAAGATCTCTCTCTCTCTCTCTCTCCCCCCGCCCCAATTCTCTATCTCTGCCTTGAAAATAAATATATAATCTTAAAAAAAAAAAAAGGAATGCACATAAGACTTCCGGAGTACAATGAATATTTTACTTATTCACCTGGCCAATAATTAAACAGATGTTAAGTTTAGAAATAGCTAGTAAACTGGCCATGTAAATTTGTTATTTTCTTTATGCATATCATACTCAAAAATATGAAAGTCCACAACTGGGAGGAGGAAATATATAAATTTGGGACTTATATTAAGTGGAAATTCAGATAAAAATATGTAGATACCAGCTGCTGGTCTCAACTACATGCATGCATACAAAGATGCATAAAATCTATACTATATAATTTTTCAAAGAATTGCAGTGTGCAGTTAACAAGAAGCTGGAATCAGGAATGAAGCTGGGACTTGAACCCAGGTACTATACTATAGGATGTGGGCATTCCAACCAGTGGTTTCACTGCTAGGCTGAACACTTGCCCCTCATAGATTTTAATTTTCAAACTGGGGGCCGGTGCTGTGGCATAGTGGGTAAAGCTGCCGACTGCAATGCTGGCATCCCATATGAGCGCCAGTTCCAAGACCTGGCTGCTCCACTTCCAATACAGCTCTCTGCTGTGGCCTGGGAAAGCAGTATAAGATGGCCCAAGTCCTTGGGACCCTGCACCCATGTGGGAAGACCCAGAGCAATCTCCTGGCTCCTGGCTTCAGATCAGCGCAGCTCCAGCCGTTGCGGCCAACTGGGGAGTGAATCAGCAGATGGAAGATCTCCTTCTCTCTGCCTCTCCTCTCTCTGTGTAACACTTTCAAGTAAATAAAATAAATCTTTTTTAAAAAGTTTCAAACTGTTATAAACTCTTTATTATAATTAAAAGCATACCTTTGGGGCCAGTGCTGTTGTGTAACGGGTAAAGCTGCTGCCTGCAGTGCTGGCATCCCATATGGGCACTGGTTCGAGACCTGGCTGCTCCACTTCCGATCCAGCTCTCTGTTATGGCCTGGGATAGCAGTAGAAGATGGTCCAAGCACCTGGGCCCCTGCACTCACATGGGAGACCTGGAAGAAGCTCCTGGCTCCTAGCTTTGGATAGGTGCAGCTCCAGCCATTGCAGCCAATTGGGGAGTGAACCAGTGGATGCAAGACACCTCTCTCTCTGCCGCTCCTTCTCTATTTAACTCTTTCAAATAAATAAATCTTCAAAAAAAAAACACAGTGTTTTGTTTCACTGGTCATTAATCTTCATTCATGTATAACATGATAAACATTTTTTAGATATATGATTTAGATTTAGGATGTCCTCTGAAAAATTGGTAAACCAATAATACAAGATTTAGCAACATGATGATAATCTTCAGAAGATACATTTTATTCTTACATTGCTAAAAATTTCTAAAACCTATATTCACTATGCTAAAAATGAACTGACAATGAAGGTAAGTTTCCTGAGGCTTTGTGAACGGGGAGCTCATTTTCAGTCTGGATTCCATCTCCAAGTGAAGGTCTAGAGAATCCTATTTGAGTCGACATGGTCAGCACTGTGTAGAGGAGAGTGTAATCTCTGCTGAAGACAGGGCAGGTGCGTAGGCCTCGCAGCTCTACCTCCTGCTTCCTCAGGCCTCCCAGCAGCCCATATCCAGCTTGTCCCTGTTGGTCCCGGCAGCTTGCACTACGGGTGCTTCCTGACACCACCGTGTGAGCAACCCTGCGGGGGCCGCCTACACCTCAGATAGTCTGGCAGCCATCACACCTGCCTTCCTGGTCTCTGATCTGGGGCAAAAGCAATTCAGCAGGAATGACAGTCTCATCAACAAATGGTACTGAAGTAACTGAACATTCACAAGCGAAAAATGAACATCAACCCAAACCTTATACCTTAAACAAAAATTAAATCAAATACCAAGTTCTTAAATGTAAAACAAAATAAAACTTTAGGAAAAAAGACTAACAACAGAATATCTTGCGGACCAAGGGCTATAATTAAAAGAAAAAAGATCTCATATGAACAACCCACTTTATAATTAAAGAAAGTTGAAAATGAAGAACAAAATTAATTCATATGAAGCCACAAAAGACCCCAAATACCAAAGCTACTTTGAATATTAAGAATAAAATGGGAATCAGCATTTGGCCTAATGATTAAGGCGCTGCTTGCGTTTCCCACAACCCATGTTACAGTGCTGTGTGCCAGCTTCCTGCTCATGGACACCCTGGAAGCAGCAGCAGATGCCTTGAGTACTTGGGTCCCTGCCACCTATGTGAGACCTGGATTGGACTCCCTGTTCTTGGTGGATCCCACTCTGGCCCAGCCCTAGCTGCTGTAGACATTTTAGGGATGACAGCCCCACTGATGCCTCCTAAATAAAATAAATTTTAAGAAAGAACAAAGTGCAAGGCATTCTACTAACTGAATGAGCTCCATTTCTGATACAGCTCCTTGCTAATGCTCCTAGAAAAACAGCACTTGGCCCAAGCCCTTGGGACCCTGCACCGACATGGGAGACCTGGAAGAAGCTCCTGGCTTCAGACCAGCCCAGCTCAAGTCACTGCAGCCATTTGGGGAATGAACCATCAGATGAAAGATCTCTGTTTCTCCCACTCTCTCTCTGTAACTCTGCCTTTCAAATAAATAAATGAATCCTTAAAAATAATACAGACAATGCAAACAAGGTGTTATGTTCATTTTTTTTTTCTTTGAGGGTCTGAGAAGTGAATAGGTTTATACCAAATGTCAAAAGGGACAGGTCTGTTATGAGACCTCTAAAGATGGGGGTTTATCCAAGCCAACCACAGGAATCTGGTAGCTGTCCCCATTTTTAAAAGCTTAAAACACTTCCAGGGGTCAACTCTGTGGTGCACTGGGTTAAGCTGCTGCTTGCATCACCGGCAACCCATATTGTAGTGCTGATTCAATTCCTGGCTGCTCTGCTTCCAATCCAGCTCCCTGCCAGTATTTCTGGGAATGCATCAGAGGATTGCCTAATTACTTGGGCTCCTGCCACCCACATGGGAGACCTGGATGGGGCTCTGGGCTCCTGGCTTCAGCCTAGATCATCCCTAGCCATTGCAGCCATTTGGGGAATGAGTGGAAGACTTTTCTCCCCTCTGTTATTCAGCCTTTCAAATAAATAAATACTTTTAAAAATAAAAACAAATGCCACAGATTGTGGAAAAATACTGGCAATTGTATCCAGAAATATTAGATTATAAAACAACAAGAAACCAATTTTTAAAATATGGACTGTTCATTTAAAAAGATATGAGTGACAAACACATGAAAAAAATACTCAACAGTGATTAATTAAGGAAAAGAACCACAATTTAATACCAAGTAAAATGGCTAAAATGAATGACTCATCATATACTTACATACAAAGTGTCAGGCTGACATGAAGACACTGCATATCTAACATACTACAGGAACAAATGTGAAATTCCTAGCCATTCAGAACACACTTTGACAGACTCTTTACAATTTAAACACCTGGATCAATCTCCAGCATACAGCATCAGGAGCTCTGGAAACCTGTTCCCCAACAAAATTATAAGAACACAATTCTCAGTCTCTGGAGATGGCTCTAATATACAGCAAATGAAGTAATATGTATTCAGAAAAATCTAGCATTCAGTAAAAATAGCAACATTCTCAGTGTGAACAAAGGCCTTTGGTCCCAGCGCCCTCTACACGCAGTGAGAAGGAAATTCCACGCCAGACTGATGCAGCCAAGAACACAGGGCTCCCTCCTCTTGGAGCTTCCAGGCTTCTTGGGATGAGCTGAGTATCAGTAATTGTCTTCCTGTACCCAGAAGGCATATTTATACAAATGTCATCAATTTCTGGACCCCTCTTAAAGGATACTCTCAGAACGTTCAAGTCCCCTCCATTCCTGATGTTTTTCTCCACTCTGAACTTTGGCCTTTGACCTAAGCCTTTCTCCACATCCAGTGCACTCATAAGGCCTTGCAGCACTGCGAACTGTGCAGCATTGAATGAGGCTGGAGGGACAGCCAAAGGTTTTCTCCCATGTCCTGTATTCGAGACTTCTCTCCAGTGCGAACCTCCTGGTGTCGGATGCGGCTGAAACGCTGGTGAAAGGATTTCCCACGAATGTCACACTCTTAAGACATTTCTCTAGTGTGAATTTTTCGGTGTTTGACAAGGCTGGAGCTGTGGCGATAAAACTTCCCACACTCCCTGCACTCGTAAGGCCTCACGCCAGTGTGAACCCTTTGATGTTTAACAAGGCTGGAGTTCTCGCTAAAGAATCTCCCACATTCACTGCACTTAAAAGGCTTTTCTCCAGTGTGAACCTTTCGGTGTTGGATGAGGCTGGAGCTTTGGCTAAAGAACTTCCCACATTGACAGCACTCAAAAGGCCTTTCTCCAGTGTGGACCCTCCAGTGTTTAACGAGGCTGGACTTGTGGCTATAAAACTTCCCACACTCACTGCACTTATACGGCTTTTCTCCAGTGTGAACTCTCTGATGCTTCATGAGGCTGGAGTTGAAGCTGAAGCACTTCCCACACTTCGGGCACTCGTAAGGCCTTGCTCCAGTGTGTACTCTGTGATGCTGAACGAGTGTAGAATTGTGCCTGAAAGCTTTTCCACATTCATTGCATGTAAAAGGCTTTTCTCCAGTGTGAACTCTTTGGTGTTGAATGAGGTCAGCATTTCGGCTAAAGGATTTTCCACATTCATTACAGCCATAAGGCCTTTCTCCAGTGTGAACTATTTGGTGTAAAAAAAGGTTGGATTTATGGCTAAATAATTTCCCACATTCACTACATTCATAAGGCTTTTCTCCAGTATGTAGTCTCTGGTGCTGAACAAGTAAATATTTCTGACCAAAGGCTCTGCCGCATTCGCTGCATTTGTAACCCCTTTTCCCACTGCACAAGGCCTCCTGGTTCTCAGTGCTCCCATAGGGCTCTCCTCCACTGTGGGTCCCCTGCTGCCTGGGGAGACCTGAGCTGGTCAGGGAATCCCTCCTACCCTCCCCGTTTTGCCAGGGTTTCTCTGGCAAGTGTACTCTGCAGTTCTTCCATGCTGAGGCCTGCCCCTCTTCTGCGTTTAAGGTTTTCTGTCCACAGTCGAGCTGCTGGTGCTGGTGAGGGTCTGTGCGGAGCGTTTCGTTTACAGAAACCCTCTGTTCCCAGGGCGCCTCCGCAGTGTCCCCTCCAGGCCAGCGACCTGAATATGAAGGAATCCTGATGACATTGCGGGGGGTGGGGAGGGCAGCACCCTAACAAGTGCATGTCTGACACATTCAGTAATGAGTCCCTGGTTTAGCTGGCAGAATGAGGAAGCGAGGTCAGGATGGGGGAGTGCCTGCTGTGCGGAACTGAATTCAGCAAGCTCACAGAGTGGGAAGACCTCACGAGCAACAAGGACACAGGCCAGGTGCGGCACAGGGAGATGAAGCCTCTGCAGACGGCTTTATGTAGGGCCTCAGCTACTGGAGACCCATAACAACAGGGGAGAAGGGTGCACCCAGGTCCAGAGAAACTGACTGTTACTGAACAGCCAGTGTTCAAGCACTAGTCAGGGACAAGTGCACCCCACACAGCATACTCAGTCAAAGCCACTGTTGGAGAATATGTGAAACATGGAAGACAGACAGGTAGGGGACAGCCCTGGGTCAAAATGAAAATAGCAATGGTAACTAGGCAACTAGGTAAGAAAAGATGGTACCAAAACATGAGCACCCTGGAAAACTCCTGGCATGGTCTGAAGCCTCTCTGAGCACATCCTGGCCCCCGCCCCAGCTCCACCTCTGAATTACCTCTTGGTGTAAAGGGCTGTCCCCACAACTCCAGCTGGACAATTTCATGGGTCTTGGAAGCTTTAAGTCCTAAGGGAAAGAAAGGCAGGACACGTGAGTGGCCAGCACTGGGCCAGAGTGACCTATCCCATGACAAACCACAGGAAAAAAATGCACAGTACAGACAGAATCTTAGGAGCATCTTGCAGGAACTACCTGGTCAAGTAGGGATCCTGTCAGTGTGAACACATCCCAGTACAGGCACACCCAAGGTAGGTCAGTCAAAGGAAAGGGGCACAAAACTTTCATGCACCTGTACTGCATTACCAGGCCATGGAGAAGCTGACACGGTGAAATCCATTAGGCTGACTGCAGGACTGCTGGCCCCCAAAACCTTTCCTGCAGGCCTCTGGGGCAGCTAGGGAGAGAAAGCGGTGTATGCACAGCCCAGGTCTATACCTACAATACCTACTCCAGGACACTGGAGAAGGAAGCGGCGTCTGTGGCCCAGCGGTGAGAAGGATAGTCCTGCCTTTAGGAAAATGAGAAACAGCAGAGCCAGCCCAGAGCTGGGACAGAGCATAAAAATCTCACCTAATGAGTCCAGAAGGGCCGAGGTCTCCAGCATCACGCTGCGATAGAGGTGTCTCTGGGCTGTATCCAGCAGATTCCACTCCTCCCAGGAGAAGGAGACAGCCACGTCAGCAAAGGTCACGAAGCCCTGCCACGCGGGGAGAGCTGCGTTTATATTCCTTCCCCAGGACTCTGGACAGCCTCCCAAACATCCATGCTTACGACCATTCCCCTCCTGAGCCCCTTCCTTGAAGGGGAAATGGGACGAGGAGGAAGAGAAAGAAGAAATAGGAAGGAAGAAGAGGAAGAGGAGGAGAAGGAGGAGGAGGAGGAAAAAGAGGGAGAAGTGGAGAGGTGGAGGAGGAGGAAGAGGAGAAAAAAAGAGCGAGAGAGATCTCATCTACTGATTCACTTGCCCAGATGCTTGCAAAAGCTGAGGGTGGGCCAAACTGAAGCTGGGAGCCCAGAACTAACCCAAACTTCCCACATGGGTGGAGGAACTCAATGACTTGAGCCATCAAGACGGTGTCTTCCAGAGTCTACACCAACAGGAGCCAGAGTCAGGCAACAAATCCAGACATGCTAACATGGAACACGGACATCTATCTCAACTGCTAGGTTAAACACCCCTTCAGATTTTCCAGTGTTGATCACTATGGCTATAAAACCTTCTAAACCTCATGTCCTTGACTGCTTAAAATGGGACTCTGTACATATAATCCTTGATCTATATTCAAGGCTCTGACTATGTGAGACCACTGTCCAGGGAGCTCAGAAGGATAGAGGAAAGCAAGCCAAGAATCCCAGGACACCACAGTCCTGGAGACCAGCATGTGCAAGCTGAGATGGGTGAAGACTAAGGACATCCTCCACTTGTCTCTGCATGGTCTGCAAATGAGACGCAGCCATAGGTTCCTATACAAAAGCGAAGCTGTGAAAAGCAGGCAACAATGTCCCTAAGGACTGGCCAAGCTCCCCTCACAGACGGTGGGGTCAGTGTGCCTTCCCATCTACCATCTGCGACTCCGTCCTCAGTGGTACCTGTGGACAAGCACCTGACTTCTCTGTACCTCGGTGTTGTCATCCGTAACAGGGAGATGATAATGGTACCCACCCAATAGGAGCAGTGTTAGATCAAACCCATTCCTATGTGTCAGTGACTAATTATCAATTCTTACTGAATGCACATGTAATTACTGCTTCTGTTAACATTTTCAGTGCAAATACAATAACAGGTTTTAATCACGTGAATGTTTTTTAATATTCCTTTTAGCTAAGAACACAATATTTAAGAATCTGATTTTAATCAGATGCAGATTATTAAGTTTTCAACTTTATTAAGTGTTTGCATCATTTAATTGTTGAGTTCATGTTGTTTTAATTGTCCCTGGGTATGAATCTTGATTAATCAGTGCTTCAATACTTATTTTGTAAATCAATTCAGGAGGAATTGGAGCAGCTAAGTTTGGCAACGTGGCTGCCTGCTATGTAGTTGTCAGAAGCCAACTCTTAGGACACAGGTCTTTCCATTGTTCTACACTGGAGTCCAGGGGAACTTGGGCATCAAAGCAGCTGTTCCATCAGCCTGCCTGGCCTTTCATTTTCTCCACAAGGAGCGGACAAAAGGGCAAGAGAGCCTCCTGAGCCCGCAGTGGCAAATCTATGCCACTCAGCTGGTCCTCCGTCCACGTCCTCCACCTCCGGCAGTCATGCCTTGCTAACAACAGGGAAATGCTGTAAGGAATGCACCACTGGGTGGTTTCGGTATGCAAACATCAGAGCACACTCAGATAACCCCATGTTTCTGCACAACTAGGTTTTATGGGGCCATCTGCTCCTGGCTCCTGACTCCTGGCTCCTGGCTCCTGGCTCCGGCCTGGCCAAGCCTTGGCCATTGCAGCCATCTGGGGAGTGAACCAGCGGATGGAAGACCTCTCTGTCTCTGCTTCTGTCTGTGACTCTGCCTCTCAAAATAAATAAATGATTATTTACAACAAAGAGAGAGAAAAAGTCCCAGCCTGGTTCCATCGGTGTGCACGCTGGCAGTGGGTCCCCCGCCTCTGCGCATTGATTTTTCTTGAATAAACTCGCTGCGGCTGCAAGTTCGTATGCTGCCTCCTCTCTGTTCCGCACTCCTTCTCCTCACACCGGCCACGAGCGCCTCACGCGCCTGAACCCCGGGGCCGGGTTGCAGGGACGCTAGCAGGTCTCCCTCACTCAGGGCACGGAGGGTGCAGAACTTACCTCAGCCGGGCGCCTCAACGCCGCCGCCGCCATCAGATGCCGTGAGCAGAGCGTGGCCGGGAGCCGCGGCGGGAAGGGCCGCTCCCGCTCGCTCTGGGCACTGCCGCGGAGCCTCACACTCGACTCCGTGTGGTGAACACAGCCCGTTTCTTCTCGCACCTCCCAGGTCTCCTCACCTCAACGCAAAATGACCTCTCTGGAGCAAGGAAAATGATTTCGCCACGGCGACGCCGGAAGGCCCGCCCAGGCACGGGAACGTCAGTTTTCATTGGCAGAAGGGTGCAATGCCTTCTGGGTAGTGTAGTTCTGGCGCCATCAAACTTTAGTGGGCGTGGCTGTGCACCCGGAGAGTGCGATTCTTGCGTTATTGCGGACTGGCATGGATTTCAGGTTCCCTCCGCTGAGTTTTCCTTCTCTCCAAGCACTTGCGGTTCTTCAGGGCCACAGTAATTGGCTTCCTTAGGCTGAACCGCGTATACATTTCCAAATTTTCCTTGGCAAAGGGATGTCCAGTTGAAAATTCAGTGATGCAATACCTGAAGTGTGAGAATAATACAGGGTTCTGGGGCCGGCGGTGATATAAGGGATAAAGCTGCCGCCTACAGCGCTGGCATCCCATATGGGCGCCTGTTGGGAGACCTGGCTGCTCCACTTTGATCCAGCTCCCTGCTAATGCACCTGGGAGAGCAGTGAAAGATGGCCCAAGTGCTTGGGCCCTGCACCCACGTCTAGCTCTGGGCTCCTGGCTTTAGCTGTCCCAGCCCCAACCCTTGTGGTCATTTGGGGAATGAACCAGTGGATGGAAGATTCTCTCTCTCAATCTCATTCTCTCTCTCTCTCTCACTCTCACTTTCTTCCTCCCTCCCTCTCCCTCTAACTCTGCTTTTCAAACAAAAACAAAAACAAAAACAAAAAACCTGAAAGAAAGGGCTCTGAATTGTAGATACAGATAGTTGGGAATCTTAAGTATTTACTTTCCTCCTTCAAACCATGCTCATTTCAAATCAGTGTTCAAGAAGGACAGTAGGCATCAGAAACATCTATTAGAAGAGTAGATTCTAAATCATTCACCTATAAGATTATAGATAAATCATAAACTGACCACTATGACTTGAACCTTTGTGATCACATCTAACAAACATGTTGTAGAATACAGTCATAGCAAAGTGCATACAATATAATGCAGCTTATGAAAAACTCGGAATATGACAAAAATAAGTATATCAATTGTAGAAATCTACACAGATATTAAAAATATAAAGACACTTGCAGATTGCTTCTCAAAATTTTCGGGCCGGCGCCGTGGCTCACTAGGCTAATCCTCCACCTTGCGGCGCCGGCACACCGGGTTCTAGTCCCGGTCGGGGCGCCGGATTCTGTCCCGGTTGCCCCTCTTCCAGGCCAGCTCTCTGCTATGGCCAGGGAGTGCAGTGGAGGATGGCCCAGGTGCTTGGGCCCTGCACCCCATGGGAGACCAGGAAAAGCACCTGGCTCCTGGCTCCTGCCATCGGATCAGCGCCGGCTGCAGCGGCGGCCATTGGAGGGTGAACCAACGGCAAAGGAAGACCTTTCTCTCTCTGTCTCTCTCTCTCACTGTCCACTCTGCCTGTCAAAAAAAAAAAAAAAATTTCGGGTATTAGCTCCAGGGGGTGTGCCAGGCATTATGAGGGGACAAAGGAGAGTGAATGCCTAAGAAACTATTTATCATGAATGGTTATCTCACAGATGTGTTTTTTAACTAAAAAGCAAGATGTACACCTCTTGTCAACACTCCGCTGAACATGTGAAAACTTTAAAATAAAAGGCTAAGTAGCTTTATTTTGTCACAGTAATAAAAATGGGTGCCTCAACAGAACAAATCGATTCATCTATGTGTGGAATTTCAAATAACTTGATCACTGAGGGGAAACCCGAGTATTGAATCATTTAGTTTAGATGAAATGATTATCTACAACAGGATTCACTAATATTGAATTCATAAAATAAATTCCATGAGGATACTTTAAAAGAACAATATCAACATATTCTGGCCTATAATTGTTGTTTATAACTCTGGAATCCAGTTGTATTTCCAACTTTTAGGACTATTCCCATGTCTGTAAGAAATGAGAACATCAAAACTGGAAGCCCAGACCTTATCTTTAGCCAGATCTCCTTCAGGACTGGAGACTATCTCCTCCCTTGAAGGTTCAAGAAATGGCTGCTGACTTAGAAATGTTGAAACTGAAGGTCAGAGGACAATTTTTCAGATGGGTTACATGTGGCTGATATTTTCTGGAGGTGATAACTGCAGACCAGAAAAATGCAAAGGAGGTAACCATAGAGGAGCCAAGTCCCAAATAGTCACATAAAAAAAGGTAGAATAAGTGTCTAAGTGATGAGGCACGAAAAAAATCTGGTGACTTCGAGTAATAGTAAGAAGAACACAGTGGCCGGGCCAGGGGATAGGGAAAAGAGTAACGCTGGGAACCAGACATGACTGTGAATTCAGTGTTCAGCTCTCTGCTATATAACTTTCTAGTCAATTCTTCCTACTTCTCCCATTCATACTAAATGAAAATAAATTTTTTCTTAAAAAAAGAGGAAAGAACAGTGCTAGATTCCCAGCATCTCTGTACCCCCAACCTGAAAAGTAGTGGTCACTGAAGGAAACCTTTGCCTGTGGTTTGAGACTTGGTTGCCGGACCAACCCTGTTATCTCTTCACTCACTCCTTTGAACTAGTTTGTTAACTTTCAATATGCTGTGACTCCTTTTAAAAAAAATATTCATTTAAAAGGTAGAATGACTGGGGGCAGGGGAGAGAAGTGGAGAAACAGAGAGACTGGTCCCTCGCCAAATGGCCACACCAGCAGGGCTGAATCAGGCCAAAGCCAGGAGCCAGGAGCTCCAGCTGGGTCTCCCACACAGGTGGTGGGGGCTCACGCACGTGGAATCACCTGCTGCTGCACATCCCTGGTAGCTTTGGGATCTGCAAGGAGGGAAGGCCTACACTTCCAGGAATGGAAAGTTCCTACCTGTACTTCCAGGGAAGAAAAGTCCTTGTCAAGGTCCCCGCGGGTGCCTAAAGGTCAACCAGTAAGGCTCAGACCTGCCTCAACCTTTAACCCCCATGCCCTGACTCTATAAAAGGAGCCCTCCCAATCTCTGCCGCGCGACTTCCCTGGTCCCTGCTCTGTTGGGACCGAGGAACCTCGCCCGGGAGCGGAATCCTAATAAAAGCCTGTGAATTAATTGATTTGTCTGCCTGGGAAGATCTGTTATGCGCCGGACACCTTGCAATCCCCAGCACATCAGCAGGAAGCTGGGTCAGAACGCAGAGCAGCCAGGACTCAAACCAGCCCTCCAAACCAGATGCGGGCTTAACCCACTTTGCCGTAGCACCCACCCCTGCCTGTGACTTCTTAGTCTACTAACCGCCCTTGATATTATTAAATATCATCATCTTGGGGGGCTGACGCTGTGCGTGGTACGTTACCCGTCCCCCGGCGGCGCCGGCATCCCGTATTGCTGATTGATTGGAATGGTCAATAAAACACGGCATTGTGGGAAGACACAAATGTGAACTGGGTGATCAGTTAAGGTGTCTGCTGCTCACAACACGAATCAGTTTCCAGCTATATAAGTCTGCGTGACATTAGTATATGGTGTGATACTTGCTTTTTTTTTTTTTTTTTTAATGAGCATTCTCTGCCTAAGGAAGACTGACATAATAGACCTCTAAATATTTCTGTGCTGTTACAGACTACGCTCACCAGCAGTACAGATGTGACGCCTTTAAGAAGCGATACCCCGCCTTGGCCGCTGGGGCCGCGTCCCACTTGCAGGCGTCCCTAGGCTCGCGGCCGCGGGAACTACACTACCCAGGAGCCCCGGCGGCGGGACCAACGCAGGCCCGGCAAGCGGACTAGTCCCTTCCTGCGGACGACCCCGGGGCGAGACTTCCCGTGCCCGCCGCCGGCCGACGTGTGGTTGACTTCCCTGTCATAGTCCGTGAGAAGGCAGTGCAGGCCGAGGGTGACGAGAAAGGGAGACCGTGAGAGGCGGCGGTGTCTGCCCCGAGCGGAGGCGGGGCTGGCGCTCCGCAGTGGCTGCCAGGGAGAGCTGGCCTCTGGGAGGCGGATCGCGGGTCCCCTCTCCTGACACCTGTCTCCGATGGCGGCGGCAGCGCCGAGGGACTCGGCGCAGGTGGGTGTGAGTGCACGGGTCCTCGCCCCGACCTCGTCTCTGAATCGTACAAGCTTCAGATGAGGGCTCCTGGGGGTACTGCAGCCCAGGCCCCTGCGTCCAGGACAGCGGAGAACCCCGTCGCCAGGCAGCTCGATGGGTTGTGGAAGGACGTTACGTGCGCGAAGACGTAGAGGTGCCACACGGCTAGAGCACGCCGGAACCTGGCGTCCTCTGTAGCTGTCGGGTTAAGAGTATGAGGAGTCGTCACCCTGGATGGTCATCCTGAGCTGCCTGGCGTCCACTCTGAGGCCAACGGAAGGTTTCCAACGGAGGAGAGACACGATCAGAGACGGTTTAAGAGTATTCCCTAGGCTGCTGAGAGGAGAAAGGCTGGGGGTTGGTTGTGGGGTGATGAGAACAGGACACAGTAAGATTTAGTTTAATATAGTCGCTCGGAGGCTACCCTAAAGACTGAAGCTGAGGGTTGACAGTTGGCCCCAGGCCACCTTAGGACTCAGCAGGAATCAGGGATAGCCTAAGCCTTATGGTTGCTAACCCTTCACAGGCTCCCTCTTCCCACAGGTTGCCATGAACTCAGAAGTAATTATGGACCCTGTCCAGGTGAGGGGAGGCTGTCCATGCTGGACCCTGGGGAACCCCAAGCCTAGAGTCTTGAGTTCAGGTCTTGGTTATATGGGGGCTCCCATTCTTGAAAACCACTTGACTGAAGCTGGGAGGCTGCTTCAGACGCGGGAACCAGCATGAGCAATACTTGGAGGTGAGGCTGATGGGAGTTTCCAAGGAACCTCGGGTCTCCACCAAGTCTGGTAGGAACCAAGGACAAGGGGCAGGAGTCAGACTGGAAATGACGGCTGAGGAGTTGGGTTTCTGTTCTAAAGGTCGGAGACCTCGGGGAAATTAGCTGGCAGAAGTCTGGGCCGGGCTTAGTGCCTTTCTGCCGACCTCCTGGTTGCTGTTGATGAACACAGTGAGCAATGGGGTCAGAGGAGGGAAGTGATCTGACCTAGATCTTATCCTCCCCATAGATGCCACGCAGAGAACAGACTAGATATTTTTGGGAGTTGATAAATTCTGGCAGAGACAAGGAGATCAGAGAGGAGGCTCCTACAATATTCCAGATAAGTGGTGACAGATAGGCCGTATGGGAGGCTGTGAAGAATCACGACATGATTAGATTTTATGCTGTTATAAAGAAAAAGAATCACCCTCAAGGTTTTTTAACCTTAATAACTAGAACGGTAGAAGCTTTATCAGCTGAGATGGACAAGTCAGTGGTAAGAGTAGTTTTCCATGTGGATTTGAAAAGTTTATTTGTGATCATGAGAGGAGTCTGAGATATTCCAAGCATACTGAGTAGAGGGGTCATGTGAGATTCTGGACACAGGGGACTGGAGTTCTTTATAGGGTTTCAGAATGAATACATCCAAAAGGTAGAAGATGATGTTTAGACTGGGGCTTAGGAGAGAATCTTCACATCACAACGGTTGTGCAGTGAGTGAACCAGTAAGGTGATGGTGAAGGTCACTGATTGCTTAGCCGGCCAGTTGTGAGACAGCTGTGACCCAAAGAATTATATGCTTGGGACTGTGGATTGATGGCACCTGGGCCATGTTACTGGTCTTAAAGGAGAAAGGTATGCCCAGCTTTGGTTGTCTGGCAAGGATGATCTTAATGACTCATGGAGAATTAGCTAGCAGTAGACTTGGGCTCCATATGCCAGCCCAGAGCTTAAATGGTACCTTCTGCCCTCCTCCCTGTTGTTGCTATTTGGTGAACAGAGTGAACACTGGGAGCACAGTGACAGAACAGATGCCAGTGGCATCTGGTCCTGGTATGTCTGAATTGAGGAGTTGGGTAGGAGAGTTCCCAGGTGTGCGCTCATGGGGAATGGATGGGGGTCCTCAGGAGAGAGGCTGTTGATGGACTCGACTCTCCCCACTGCGGCAGGGGCAGGTGAACTTTGAGGACGTGTTCGTGCACTTCTCCCAAGAGGAATGGGGGCTCCTGGATGAGGCTCAGAGGCTCCTGTACCGCGATGTGATGCTGGAGAACTTTGCACTTACGGCCTCACTGGGTAAGGCCGTCACACCCACCCCAGGATCCTGGAGTAGATGTTTCCCTTCCCCCTTTTCCTAGGGCAGCCTAGCCCTCCTTCTTCAGTTCCCTGGAGGAGTGCTATGGAAACTGCCTCAGCTGTGTGTGTACTGCCTACTGCTCCTCAGCAGTTCCAACACCTGCGGTCCGAAAGACTCATAGGGATGGAGCCAGCATCCTGCAGTCAGCTTAGCGGATCATTTCCATCTTTTCTTTCTTTCTTTTCCATCTTTTCCTTTCTCAGATTGAATGCCTCTGTCCATATCCATGTCTGGCAACTCTGAGCCCAGATTCTGCCCCTCCTGACATTTCCTGTGGCTTGCCTATCTGAGGAATTACATGGACCAGTATGGTCACTATTTGTGGGGACACCTGGACTAACCCTACTCTGAGATAATTTTTTCTGTTTTTTTTTTTTTTTAAAGATTTATTTATTGAAAGTTAGAGGGAGAGAGACAGCTTGAGATCTTCCATCTGCTGGTCCACTACAAAAATGACCACAATGGCCTGAGCTGGGCTGTTCAGAAGCCAGGAGCCAGGAGCTTCCTCCGGGTCTACCACGTGGGTGCAGGGGCCCAAGAACTTGGGCCATCCTCCACTGCTTTCCCAGGTGCATTAGAAGGGAGCTGAATCAGAAATGGAGCAGCTGGGACTTGAATCAGCACCTAAATGGGATGCGGGCACTGCAGATGGCAGCTTTACTCACTACACCACAGCACCGCCCCTGATAATTTTTCTGTTTAGCTTTCTTTTCTATGGGGTGGCTCCTCCAGACCAGTGCTGGCCACTCACCTGCCCTCTCTTTTCCTTAGGACATGTCTCTTCTGTATCCCATTGTAGTTGCCTCACTGGAGATGGGCAGTGAGTCCAGGGTACCTGATTGGGTAAACATGATTCCATTGACAAAGAAACTGTAGGTGGGTGTGCCCTGCGTGAGGGAGCTGAGGAAAGATGGGGTGTTAGGACTGAGTTCACACCATTCCTTAACCTTTCTGAACCCACAGGAGTTTTTATCCAAGGCTGTGCGATATGCCTTATTTCTGTCAACTTTCCCATTTACACACTTGCCTTTCATGCTCTGACCTGTGGCCTCTGGCTGTTCTACACCTCAATGTCTGCCCTATTCCCCTCTACTGTCTCTGCAGTGCTCTCCAACATTGACCTGTACTTATGTGTCATGAGATGTGCATACTCCAGGTAGTCTTTAAATATCATCTGCTCAGCTGTGATTTGATTTCCTTGCATATGCACATAGCCTTCTGCACAACTCTCACCTGTTCCAGCAGCCAAGGGAATCCAACTGTGAATGGCATCACTGGAGACCCCGCCTCTCCCTGTGCTCTGTCCCTTGTTTATATTTTCTCCTGACTGAGGCCTCCCCCAGTCCATTACCTAAGATGCCAACTGCTATTCAGCAGAGCTTTACTCAACTTAAGCTCAGACCCTTGTCCTGAAAGTAGTCCTATGACCTTCATCTTAATTGTATTAGACACACTTATGAGGCCCCACTGTGTCAATTTATACATCATCAGAATTTCTATGCTTTCAGGTTGTTCATGTGGAATAGCACATAAAGAGACACATTTTGAGAATGGTGTTCCTAGAGAAGGAGTGTCACAAATCAGGACCAGCAAGGGAGGTTTTTTGATACAGAATGCCCACCATCAGATGTGTGGCCTGGCCTTGAAAGACATTTTGCAATTGGCTGAGCGCCAGGAAGCACACCATGGGCAGAAACCATACATGAGTGTGTCATGTGGGAGACAATTCTGGTTTAGTGCAAACCTTCACCAGCACCAACAGCAACACCGTGGGGAGACGCCCTTTAGAAGGAACAAGAGCCAGGCCTTGCTTGAGAACAGCTGCCTTGTCCAAACATCACAGGTGATCTCTATGCAAGAAGGTGGTATGGACTTCCCAACCAGCTCGAACATTTTCCAGCACCAGGTCCCCCGCAGTGAGTGGAAGCCACGCAGTACCTCCAAATGTGAGGAGGGCTTCTCCAGTGGACAAAGACATTACACATGCAGTGAATGTGGGAAAACCTTCAGCCGCAAAGACTCACTTGTCCAGCACCAGAGAGTTCACACTGGAGAAAGGCCTTATCAGTGTGGTGAATGTGGGAAAACCTTCAGCCGGAAACCCATCCTTGCTCAGCACCAGAGAATCCACACTGGAGAAATGCCTTATGAGTGTGGCATATGTGGAAAAGTTTTTAATCACAGCTCTAACCTTATTGTACATCAGAGAGTGCACACTGGAGCAAGGCCTTACAAGTGCAATGAATGTGGAAAAGCCTACAGCCACAAATCCACTCTCGTTCAGCATGAGAGTGTCCACACTGGAGAAAGGCCTTATGAATGCAGTGAATGTGGGAAATACTTTGGTCACAAGTACAGACTCATTAAACATTGGAGTGTCCACACTGGAGCAAGGCCTTATGAGTGCATTGCATGTGGGAAATTCTTTAGCCAAAGTTCTGACCTTATTGCACACCAAAGGGTTCACAATGGTGAAAAGCCTTATGTGTGCAGCGAATGTGGAAAAGCTTTTAGTCATAAGCATGTTCTTGTTCAGCACCATCGAATTCACACTGGAGAAAGACCATATAAGTGCAGTGAGTGTGGGAAGGCCTTCCGGCAAAGGGCTTCCCTTGTACGGCATTGGAAAGTTCACACTGGAGAAAGGTCATAGGATAGCCAGGAATATGCCATCTCCTTGTTTGACAAAATGACTAGTACCAGAAAGGAGCTCCCACAGTAGCCTTCGTGTGTAGCCTTCTAGCCATCAGTCAAGTTTAATCTTACACCTTAACACTGCCCGCCCTGGGAGATTTGAGTGTCGCTTGTATAGGAAGCGTTCTGGAGCTTTCTTGTTCTTTGGAAGCTGCCCAGGACCCTCGCTGGAATTACTTGACCAGTGTCTCTGACTGAAGCCATTTATCTGCATAGCGGCAGGTTCCACTTTGTGCACACATCATCCCGACATCCTCAAAGAGGCAGGTCTCTGTCCTCCTCCCTTTCCTAGAGGAAATAACTGGTGGTGTGGGCTCCTGGAGGACTCTCGCCCCTTCCTGCCCCACACTGGTTTAACCATGAGGCAGTTTAGGCCGTGAGGATGTACACTTTGTTCTGTGGTCTGCTTGTAGAGAAGCCTTTGGACACTATTGACTTCATATGGCACTTGTGATGGGTTTTTCCATCATTCAGGACATCTACCCTGAAATTTCCTGCCTCATATTCTGGTTTAAAAAAAAAAGCCTTAATTTTTAGACTGGACATCTTGAGGATGCTGTTCACTTTGTGGGCTGGATTGAGAACTGAGTTGATCTCTGCCAGCATGAAGCAATGAAAAGCTTTTGCCAGAGCTCTGTGCCTTGGTCTTACAGGTGATAGTACGATGGCAAAGAGTTCCAATTCTAGTGACAGCCTAAGTTACACTGCTGCTTAAACTCTCCTAGGAAAGAATATATTGGTATTCTTTGTGAGCCTATTTGTTTCGTCTGTTTGTCAAGATAGCAGGTGTGGCTAAGGTCACCCTGAAATTGTTGTGACAATCTAGTGTGCCTGGGCGCAGCATACATTTAGGTCCTCCTGCAGAGGATACAGCTCCTTGAGGAGAACTGGGACCTGCCAGGATCCCTTAAGTCTGTTCGGTAGGCAGCTATCATGGGCTGTCACCTGAAACAATAGGTGGTACAAGGGGACTGCAGCATACTACAGGGAAAATGACCCTCCTAAAAGTGCACCCACATATGTTTCCATCACTGTGGCTTTGTTATGAGAGTTTGCAGAAATTCTTAAGACTTCCATACGTGTCTCTTAGAGCTAAGGCCATTGTTAGAGTAAATATAAATAGTCCTGATTTCCCCCTCATCTTTGCCCCGGCAACCATTGATCACTGTCACTATAAGCTTATCCACACTTCCTAGAATGTTTTATATATGTGTACATATGTACATATATATGTAATATATGGTAATTCAGTGTGTAATGTATCTGGCTTCTTTAATTATACACTATTGATTTTATTCACCCAAGTTCTACTTCAGAAGTTCATTTCTTTTCATTTGTACTTTTGCTGAAAGTATTCCACTGTAGAGAGCTATATGCAATTCCAAAGCAAATGTTCCAGAAAGAACTCATACTTAAGAGCCAACTGCAGTATCTTTTTATGACCTTAACCTGAAAGTAAAATTCCACCATTTCTGATACATCCTATAGGCATCACTGACTAATCCTAGTAAAAGATGGAAGGAAACTCTGCAGTGGGAAAATATAAGGAGGTATGGATTTGTGAGTACTTTTTTGGATGCTGATGACTATAGTGATCAGGATTATTTTTCTTTTTTCAGTCTTTTAATGGTAAATTAAATAGACTAGTTTTCAAGTATTAAACCAACTTTGCATTTCTGGGGTAATCCTCATTCAAGATATATGTATTCATTTTCTGTATTATTGAGTTTTTTATTTTTTTAAAAAGATTTATTTATATATTTGAACATCAGAATTACAGTGAGAGGGAGAGACAGAGATCCTCCATCCACTGGTTCATTCCCCAAGTGGCTGAAATGGCCAGGGCAGAGCCAGGCTGAAGCCAGGAGCCAGGAACTTCTAATGGGTCTCCCTTGTGGAAGGCAGGGGCCCAAAGACTTCAGCTGTCTTCCAGCTACTCTTCCCAGGCCATTAGCAGGGAGCTGGATCAGAAGTGGAGCAGCGAGGACACAAATGGGTGCCCATGTAGGATGCTAGCATCACAAGCAGTGGCTTTACCTGCTTTGCCATTATGCCAGCCCCAATATTACACACACTTGATCTTAGCCAAAAGGCCAAGAAGCGATAGCCCCAATATTTTTCTTAAAAATGTTTGTATATATAGTCATAAGAGATACTAGTTTCTGATTTTCTTTGATGCCTAGTTTAGCTTTGGTGTCAGCAAAATGCTACCTTTACAGAATGTTAGGATGTACTCCTTAATTTTCTGGAAGAGTTTGTGAAAAATTGGTATGATTTCTTCATTAAATGTTAGGTACAATTTACCAAATGAAGCTATGTGGACCTGGATTTTTTTCTGTGTGTTAGTTTCTAACTGCAAGTTTAATTTCCATGATAGACTAAAACTTGAATAATTTTTAAAAACTTAAGTATAGTCATATTTATAGTCATAATGTCATTAATGCTGTTCTGTTCAATAAGACTGCATATAGGTGGCAGTCTTGTATGCTTATAATGGAGCTGAACATTTCCTATCATTTAATGACACTGTAAAAGGTATAAAGTTGAAGTGTAATATGCTACTCTTGTGTTGTGGTCATGTTGGTATAAATGAACCTGTTGTGCTGTATAAAAGTATAGCACATACAATTATGTACAGTACATGTACTTGGTTAAAAAAAACTATTTTACTGATTATTTTATTTGCTATACCATATATATATATATATATATATATATATATATATATATATATTGGAAGGCAGAGTTGGACAGTGAGAGAGACAGAGAGAAAGGTCTTCCTTCTGTTGGTTCACCCCCTAAATGGCCGCTGTGGCCGGCACACTGTGCCGATCCGAAGCCAGGAGCCAGGTGCTTCCTGCTGGTCTCCCATGTGGGTGCAGGGCCCAAGCACTTGGGCCATCCTCCAGTGCACTCCCGGGCCATAGCAGAGAGCTGGACTGGAAGAGGGGCAACCGGGACAGAATCCGGCGCCCTGACCGGGACTAGAACCTGGGGTGCCCGCGCCGCAGGCAGAGGATTAGCCTAGTGAGCCATGGCGCCAGCCTTGCTATACCATATTTTTATTATTATTTTAGAGTATACTACTTATAAAGAAAGTTAAATGTAAAACAGGATGCCATGTTGTGCTGGCAGCAGCCTCCTACAGCTCATGTTTACAGAGCATCTTTATTGTATCAAGGGGCCACGTGAAGTGACTGATCTATACCACCTGGGTTTGTGTGAGCACATTCTGGGATGTTTGCAAATTGATGACATCATCTGACAGTATATTTCTTAGAGTGTAACACCATCATTATGGGATGCATGGCATGTGCATATATTTTCTCCACAGTGACTTTTGATGGTTCGTGTGTTTTGAAGGAGTATATTTTATTTAAGTGAATTTTTTTTCTAAATATTCACATGTTATTACTTTACTACTTGTGGAATCTATAGTGATACCACTCCTCTTGTTCCTGATACCAGTAATGTTTATACTTATACAGTATTTCCCCTTTTTAAAAAGGTTTGTTTATTTATTTATTTGAAAGACAGAATCACAGAGAGGGAGAGACAGACATCTTCTATCTGCTGATTCACTTTCCAAATGGCAGCTGCAGCCAGGGCTGGGCCAGACCAAAGCCAGGAGCCAAGAACACCATCTAACTCCCATATGGGTGGCAGAGGCCCATGCACTTGAGTAATCATCCAGTGCCTTCCCAGGTGCGCTAGCAGGGAGCTGGGTTAAAAGTCAAGCAGGTTGGACTTGAACTGACACTCAGATATGAGATGCCAGCATTGCAAGCAGTGGCTTAACTGCACAACACCAGCATCGGTATTTCTCTGTTTGACTAGAAATTTACCAAACATAAGGATCTTCCTAAAGCAGTCAGTCTTATTGTCTGTTTTGTTCCCATTTTGACCTTTATGACTACATTCAGCTTTTGTTGGATTTGTTGTCTTCTTTTGCTACTTTTTAATATGGATGCTGAGGTTCCTTACTTACAACCTTTTTTTTCCCCCTAAGGATAGCCCTCTGCACACTTACAAATACTTAATGCTAAAATTCGTCTAAGAACTGTTTTAGTTGCCACCCACAAAATTTGATAGGTTGTATTTTCATTTTAAGTTTAAATCTTTTCTAATCTCCTTTTTAGTTTTTCCTTTGATACACAGCCCTTTTTTAAGAAGGGTATTTTAGTTCCAGATATTTGCAAATTTTCCTTATCTTTCTGGTAATTTCTAATTTAATTTCACTTAGAGTAAACACTTTATGAATTATTTACATTCCTTGAGACTTGCTTTATTGTCCAGAATACAGGCTGTCTTGTTAGGTGCTGTGTGTCAACTCAGAATTAGTGAATATTATATTCTTGTTTGGTGAAGTATTCTACAAGTGTCAACTAGTCAAGGTGGTTGATAATATTGTCTAAGTTTTCCATATCCTTACTGATATTCTGTTTTTGATTTGGCTCTGTCCATTATTTGAAAGGGATTATTGACATCTTTGAATATAAAAGTAGACTTACTGGTTTCTCTGTACAATTCTATCAGGTTTTGCTTTGTATATTTTGAAGCCTTTTTTATTAGGTAAATATGTCTTCCTAATGAGCTGGATTCTAAATATGACACTGGTACTCTTGATTTTCTTTCTGTTTCATGGAAGCAATATAACTTTTGGGAAGATTTGATCCCAACCATTTTTAGAATGTGCTATTAAATTTGAGGCTAATTCATCACCCACAACCAAGATACAGCCATTTGGTTTTCTCTACATGATGCTTCATTAATTATGAAAGTTTTCCACTCAAACTGGTTAGCAAGAACTATTCTTGTCTCTGTATGAGCTTTGAAAAGTATTCCACCAAATCCTTATACACAGTAGTCTCCCCATAGTTCCTCTATGCATAAACAGATTAGTACACAGTAGTCTCCCTATCTCCTGGTGGGTTCCTCCATGCATAAACAGATCAGTACCCAGTAATCTCCCCAATTCCTGGTGGGTTCCTCCAAGCATAAACAGATTAATACACAGATAAATCCTCAAGGATAGCCCTCTGCACGCTGACAAAGTTCCTCTCTTGTACTCTGCTCCATAGACTTAACCACCTTGACAAACCCAGACTCACAGCTCTGCCTCCCTAACTCAGATACTGCACCTGGGGCTCTCTGTTTTTGCATGAGGGCCTGGAAGTTTTATTTTCACAGGCACCTTAGACAGGCATGTGTCTCACATCATTTGTTTGCTCTCTCTTATTAAATATTGCTTTCTACCTAATGCCCAACATATTGAAAATCAGTTCTATATGCTTTTTAGTTTTTTTTTTATTTTTTTGGATCCATACAGAAGATCAATATACCTCCAAAATATATACCTTGAATAAATCAGTAGAACTTATATACCTCTGGCCATCCCAGAAAAAAAGAGAAATCACATATTACAAATATGAGCAAGGAAAGATAATGAAATACTAGATAACTAAAACATAATGGCTGACTGATTGTTTTAAAAATTTATTCTTAAAAGGGGCTGGTGCTGTGGCATAGCAGGTAAAGCCATCACCTGCAGTGCCAGCATCCCATACTGGTGCTGGTTCAAGTCCTGGCTACTCCGCTTCTGATCCAGCTCTCTGCTATGTCCTGGGAAAGCAGTAGAAGATGGCCCAAGTCCTTGGGCCCTGCACCCATGTGGGAGACCTGGAAGAAGCTACTGACTCCTGGCTTCAGATTGGCACAGCTCCGGCCATTGTGGCCATCTGAGGAGTGAACCAGTGGATGGAAGATCTGTCTCTCTGCATTTGCCTCTTCATAACTCTGCCTTTCAAATAAATAAACAGCTTTAAAAACTTATTCTTAATAAATTGAAATTTGAAGAAAATTCATTGAAAGATACCAACAGGCCAGGCTCAGTCAATAAGAAACAGAACATCTGAAAACATCCTGTCAAAGGCATTTAATTCATATTTCTAGACTAATACTACAGATCTGATTATAAATATAAGAAGCCTTTCCACTAAAAACTTCAAGATGGCCTCATTAAAGAATCCTACCAGTTATTAAATGAAGAAGTAATCAGTATTCTATTAAACTCTGCCAAAAAACTAAAACAATGATAAAACTTGAAGTCTTAGATAAGACAGTTCATGGGGGTTGGTGCTGTGGCGTAGAGGGTAGAGCCGCTCTGCCAGTATCCCATATGTGCACTGGTTCTAGTCCCAGCTGCTTCACTTCTGATCCTGCTCTCTGCTATGGTCTGGGAAAGCAGTAGAAAATGGCCCAAGTCCTTGGGCCCCTGCACCCACGTGGGAGACCTGGAAGAAGCTCCTGGCTCCTGGCTTTGGATGGGCGCAGCTCCGGCCATTGTGGCCATGTGTGGAGTGAACCACTGGATGGAAGACCTCTCTCCTCTCTCTCCTCTCTCCTCCTCTCCCTCTCCTTCTTTATCTGTGTAACTCTTGACTTTCAAGTACATAAATAAATTTTTTTAAAAAATGACAGTTCATGGTGGACTCACAGAAAGTTTCAGAATGAGGGCTGCTAAACCAGAAAGACACAAGCATGTGATTAGAGGATTCAACCTTTAAGCCAGACCAAACACTGAGGGGAGACTGGCTAGTGATGGAGTTGTCATATGGATACGCTTGAATCAACCATGGCTACAAAGTAAGGTCCTCGTCAAAACTCTGGATATTGAGGCTTGGTGGAGCATCCTGGCTGCCGAACACATGGATATACCAGGAGGGTGATGTGGGCTGACTCCATGGAGAGCAGACTATGCTCCCCAAGATCTTGCCCTATATACTTTCCACCTTGCTGTTCCTAAGTTTTATCCTTTGGAGTAAAACTGGAATAATAAGTATGGATGGCAATTTTGGTGAGTTCTATAATAATACCAGACTGGATAACTGAAAAAGAAAGGAAACTTCTCACAGTTATGAGGCTAGAAAGTCCTCAAGCTACTAACGTGGTGAGGATCTTCAAGCTGCCTCATAGCAAGGTGGAGGACATTACATGGGGCAGGCAATGGGAGCATGATGGCCCAGGTTTCTCTCCCTCTTGTAAAACTGGAAACCCATCATCAGGGTCCACTCTAATGACCTCACCTAACTCTACTTAACTCTTAAAGAGCCCACCTCCAAATACCATCAACTTATCAATCTGGGCACCACATTTCCACCACATACACTTTGGGGATGTACTGAAACCACAGCACCCATGGGGACTGATGCTTACTCTGGGTAGTTGCTGTCAAAGATTTGGAGTCAAACCTCAAAGAGATCTCCTGATATAGGACAACTATTAAAAACCTGAAGCTTGGGGCCGGTGCTGTGGCATAGCAGGTAAAGCCACCACTTGAGTGCTGGCATCCCATATGGGTGCTGTTTCAAGTCCTGGCTGCTCTACTTCCTATCCAGCTCTCTGCTGTGATCTGGGAAAGCAGATGACCAAGTCCTTGGGCCACTGCACTGGCATGGGAGACCTGGAAGAAGCTCCTGGCTCCTGGCTTTGGATTGGCACAGTTCCAGCCGTTGTGGCCAACTGGGGAGTGAACCAGCAGATGGAAGACTTCTCTCTCTCT